AAATGGGTGCACTGTTGCCAGGAGACATAGCAAGGACCCAGTTGAACTCTAAGCTACAGCTGTTAAGAGGCCATTTTACATTGTGTCCAGGAACTAGCAGAAAAGAACCTCCATTTTTGTTTCTTTTTTTAAAAAAATATAATTTTTATTGATTTTTTTTTTTTTTACAGCGAGGAAGGGAGAGGGATAGAGTTAGAAACATCAATCAACTGCCTCCTGCACACCCCCTAATGGGAATGTGCCCACAACCAAGATACATGCCCTTGACCGGAACTGAACCTGGGACCTTTCAGTCCACAGGCTAATGCTCTATCCACTGAGCCAAACTGGTTAGGGCAGAACCTAAATTTTCATAGGGTAACTGATCAACAGAAGTATGGCTTCTTTTATACAAAAAAAAAAAAAAAAAAAAAAAAAAAAAAAGGAAAACCCCAGGTCATCAACTTGGGTGTGATATTGGTTTTCTGTTGCTGCCATAACCAATTACCATGAACTTATGGCTTTAAAAAACCAATGTATTATCTCAACTCTATGTTACAAGTCCAGTACAGGTCTCTCCAAGCCAAAATTAAGATATGGGTAGGTTGTAGTCCTCTCTGCAGGCTCTGGGACAGCCTGTTTCCTCAGGTGTTGGCAGAATTCAGTCTCTTGCAATATAGGACTGAGCAGGCTGTCAGCTGGGAACAATATTTAGAAACTAGAGACCTCTCCCCAGTCCCCCTGCATGTCAAAACCACCATTATCCTTCTCACACTGTCATTTTTCTCTGATGACAGCTGAGAAACACTTTTAAGGACTTGACATCAGCTTGGCCCCACTGGAATAATCCAGGATACTTTCTTTTCCCATCCAAAGATTTTAACCATAACCATGTCTGTACAATCCCTTTTGCCAAGTAAGGTAGCATGTTCACATGACCCAGGGATTAGGACATGGACATCTTGGGAGATGTTTATTCTTTCTACCATAGGAACAGCTTAGCACTACACTGTCTACTGTAACGGGGCAGGCGTGGCAACCCTGGCCTGAGAAAGGTGTGATTACCAAAGGCTCAAGACAGGAATGAGTTAGGTTCATACCATCAAGCTACATGATAACCAACGATGAAGGGAATTGATCAATTTTAGTGAAGGGAGGTGACAAAGTTGTGGCCCAAAGACGAACTGCAGCATTGGGGATTATAACTTGCCACCCTAAGCTATCTTAAGAAGCCCCTCAGGAATTGTGAACATACATGGAGAAATGAATCTGGCACAAGGCAGAATGCAGTGGCCATTAGAGTATGCCACCCAAATCTCGAGAGCATGAACTGCAGTTAACAGCCCCCAGCTCCCTCACCTTTAGGTGTCACACTAAGGCCACACTTCCCTCAGGCTGCTACATGACTGAAAACAGAAGGGATTCTAAGTCATTACTTCCAACAGGGAAACGTCACCTAGAACTCATCAGCACTCTTATATAGATAGGATGCAGTCTGAGGCTCTTCCTACAAATCCTTTTCCTTGTGCCTAACAGAACCCAAGTCCTTGGAATGGCAACTATGTGTGGCCTTCTCAAAACTCAGCCTTGTTGCTGGGTTTCCAAGAGTGACCATCAAAAATTTCTAGAGTATTAATTCCTTGGCCTCCACTTCCCCTCCCCTATCCCAGAAAAGTGCTCATGGGCCTGTTAATTTACTATCATCTGGAGTGATGGGTGGGTGCTAATGGTTTGTATATCACTTCTTTAAAAAACAGGAATTCGATAGTCTAATCTTGTTGCAAAATCATATTCTTGTTTATGGCTGCATAAATGCTTCTCCTGTGTTATGAGTATACTACAGGACCTATTAAAGATGGCAAAAATAAATTCGATGGGCCTTCTGAGCTACTTTCACATTCTCTGGATGTAACTTAAACTACTGTGTTTCCCCGAAAATAAGACCTACTTACAGGTTTCCTTCTGAGTGAAATATAAGGCATCCCCAAAAAATAAGGCCCCCCCTAAGCTAAACATGAGATTTGGTCCACTGATTCTGAAAGAAATGGAGTCACAAGAAATTCACCAGGAAATTCAGGAATTGGATTGTTATGATGATGTTCCAGAAGATGATGACATGATTGTCATTGAATAAATCAGTAAATTCTTGATACTGTAGGATTCAGTTTGTCTGGTTTGTGTTGACAACTACCGTACTACCGTACCATATACAGGTTAATCAATTTCCTTTATTTTCATTTAACAATAAACATGTACCATATTCTTCTCCATGGAAAAATAAGACATCCCCTGAAAATAAGACCTAGCGCATCTTTGGGAGCAAAAATTAATATGAGACTGTCTTATTTTTGGGGAAACAGGGTAGTGCCAAAGTGATAGAATAACTCAGCTACAGTATTTTGGACCAAAATAAAAATTTATCCTACTACAAGAATTTTTATTTATTTATTTTTAATATATTTTATTGGCCGAAACCGGTTTGGCTCAGTGGATAGAACTTCGGCCTGCGGACTGAAAGGTCCCGGGTTTGATTCCGGTCAAGGGCATGTACCTTGGTTACGGGCACATCCCCAGTAGAGGGTGTGCAACAGGCAGCTGATGGATGTCTCTCTCTCATCGATGTTTCTAGCTCTCTATCCCTCTCTTCCTCTCTGTAAAAAATCAATAAAATATAATTTAAAAAATAATTATATATATATTAAAAATAATTATATATATAATTTTATTGGTTTTTTAGAGAGGAAGGGAAAGGGATAGAGAGCCAGAAACATCGATGAGAATCATCGACCAGCTGCCTCCTGCACACCTCCTATTGGGGATGTGTCCGCAACCAAGGTACATGCCCTTGACCAGAATTGAACCCGGGACCCTTCAGTCCCCAAGTCGACGCTCTATCCATTGAGCCAAACCAGTTCCGGCTCTTTAATTCAGTTCTTATAGTTGATCATTTAGCCTCCTTGTCATAATGCATCTCAATAAACAATTTCTAGCATAGGTAACTTAACCCTAAATTTTTATCTTAACTCTACTCTTTCAGATTCATCAAAATGATCTTGATAGCCTTGGCAGGTGTGGCTCAGTTGATTGGGCACCATCCTGTGCACAAGGTTGCTGGTTCCATTTCCAGTCAAGGCATATGCCTGGGTTGTGGGCTCTATCCCAGGTAGGGGGTGTGCAGGAGGTAGCTGACTGATGTTCCACTCTCACATCAATGTTTCCCTTTCCTCATTCCCTCTCCTTTCCCCTCTCTAAAAAAATAAAGTAACTTTTAAAAGATCTGGACAACTCTGTGATCCAGTACCAGACCCAACTTCTCTGGGAGTTTTATGTGTTTACATATATCGGGTCTAGTAATAATTAATGTCGTTTTTAACATTCGTTTAAAATCTTGCTTGGCGTTGACTTGTATTGACATAACCTTCAAACACGTGGTATCTACAGAACGTGTGAAGTGCAATTAACAAGTTTTGCTTGAAAAAGTTTGTGTTTGGTTTGGTTTTTGTTGCAAAACTAGGGCTAAGAAGATGGCGGATGAAGAGCATATTCGGCACTGCATGCTTTACGAGTTCCAATTAGGAAGAAAAGCAAGTGAGGCTGCAAAAAACATCTGTAGTGCTCTTGGTCAAGATGCAGTTAGCGCCAGAAAATGCCAGCGTTGGTTTGAGAAATTTTGCGAGGGAAATTTTTTGTTAGATGACAAGAGTGGTCGAGGCCGTGTGTCCAATTTTGATCAAGAAGCTCTTCAAGCTCTTTTGGTGCAAAATCCTCAAATTACCCAAGAGCTTGCAACAACTTTAAATTGTTCACAAAAAACAATTTCCAATCAATTGCGTGCACTTGGCAAAGTCCAAAAGTTTGGAAAATGGGTTCCTCATGAGTTGACCGACAACAACCGTAATCAGAGTCACAATTTGCAGTTCGCTCCTCTCTCGTCAAAACCGTTTGCCGTTTTTAGAGCAAATTGTTACCGGAGATGAAAGATGGGTGCTGTATGTTATTTTGAAAAGGCGGCCTCAATGGTTGGACAAAAATGAGGCTCCGCAGCCCACGCCAAAACCTGACTTGCATGCGAAAAAAAGTAATGTTGTGTGTTTGGTGGAATTTTAAAGGAATTCTTCATTATGAACTTTTACCATCTAACCAAACCATTACAAGTGCAGTGTATAGTGCCCAATTGGAAAGGTTAGCCCAAGCTTTAAGAGAAAAAGAACCCGCGCTGATTAATCTGAAGGGTGTAATTTTTCACCGCAATAACGCACGACCGCATACTGCAAGAATCACTGCTGAAAAACTGCGCCAGTTGGAATGGGAAGTTCTCCCTCAACCTGCATATTCTCCTGATATTGCCCCTTCCGATTATTATTTGTTTCGTTCTTTGCAAAACTTTCTTCTTGGAAAAAAAATTTAATAATGAAGAATGCCTCAAAAATGCATTGACTGAATTTTTTGCATCAAAATCACAAGAATTTTACAACAGAGGGATTAAAATGCTTCCTGAGCGTTGGGCACAAGTAGTAGAAAACAACGGCAACTATATTGTTGATTAAATTTTGTTGTATTGTTTAAATAAATTCGATTTTAAAAAGTATTAGAAAACGACATTATTACTAGACCTAATACATATGCAATTTACATACAGAAATTGACATAGAAGACAGATGGTTAAAGATACGTATTTATGGATATACATTCCTAGTCCTAGAGAATTTTAAAATGATAGTCAGGCATTGTGAGGGAGAAATGGGAGAAGTAGGGGGCACAGAGGAGTGAAAAGGAAAATATCTGGAACTGGTAAGCTTTAATAGGGAGGTCCTACTCCTTTCCGTTTACTTCTAACAAATCTTTATCTTATCCTGCAAACCAAAACTAAAGTATGTTACTGAAAGTATATTTACTTCTTGGGATGGAAATATATCTTGTCCTATTTTCCCTTTCCCATAAGAAACAGCTCCCTAAGGATCACCACCCAAATGTGTGTGTGTGTGCACTCTCAAATACAAATAACACATACATTCAAGTGATTTATATTTTCATAACATTTTAACATTTAATAGAAACTATATACAATAACTTTTTATGGCATCTTACATTAGGATAGTCACTGCAGAAATTTACATAGTTTGAAGATGGACAGTTGAGGACCCAGTCCTGTGGGCTTATTTTCTGAAGTTACAGTAGAAGGGAGTTCAGATTCCCCAGTTAGGTGAGAGGTGAGAAAAGGCTAAAACACAAGCTGCTAGATAGCAATGGCCAAACATTGGGTCCATCAATATCCACTTAAAGACTTTGGAAACCCCCTTACCAAGATGTCTCTCCTCAGAGCACAGAGTCCCAAATACTTGCTCGATCTCAGCAGCTCTGACAAGTATCACCTATCTTTCTTACTTGCCCAGAGTGGGAAGACACAACTTTTAGACACTACTACTGGTCCCTTCCCCCAAAGTTTGGTGTATGTTTGACTATAGCACTCAGTAACCCAGAAGGAAAACATAGTAGTCTAGGTTGTCCTTTAGAGAGGTCAGAAATACTTGTTTAAATAACAAGAAATTCAAATCCTCCAAAGTCAAATGGTTCCCAAAACAAACTATCAACTCATAGAACTGTGTTCTGGCTTCCCATTTGCAGTAGTCACTCCACTCTGAGGCAATGGTGCAGAGGCTTTTTCAGAGTTTCGAGATCCCTGCAATCTGCACCCATCTCCAGCCATCTGCATCTGGCCCTGTTAAAAGAAAGTTACTTTGGTTACAAATCCATTTGTTGTGATCTGAAAAGCATGAATCTGACTTATCAATGCCCATATATCATAGCAACAAGAACAAGACAGCAGAAATAAAATAATACTGGGCAGTTGCTCTTCCCCATACTTGTCATTACTTGAAGCATTCCTAAGATTCTCCCAATGGGAGGGAGAGCTGTGGGTTGTTTCTTCCAAGTGAAACAGCCATTCTGTGCTGAATTTCCAGAACAGCCAACATATCAAAGGAAGATGGTCCTTTGGGCCTCTGCTTGAAACCAACAGCTATAGTGTAAGTGCTGGTCTTCAGTCAGGGCCACTTGTATCCCACCCAAGGCCCAGAGAAAGAAACCAAATCACATTACTCATCCTTACCCTATGATGAAAACAATTCCAGTGCTGAACTCTGCCTTAAAAGGAACAATGTACCTAGATTCCTTGTCAAGCTAATTAACTGTGTGTCCTGCTCTGAGATATGAGCACCAGAGGTTCTAAGAGCCTATCTAGAGAACCATCTGGGACACCTTTACAGTCTCCGTGTGATGACAACCCTACTCACGCTCTGGCGGTACATGTCAGCACAGCCAGCGGGGAAACCTCTGCCTGGCTACATGGCTACATGGGGGAAGCCTGGCCGGGTTATTCTTCACTTGCCAAAGTATCCACTGGGCCTTCAGCATTGTCTTTGACTGAATGATCTTCAAGGGTTAGTGAAGGATCAAAAAGCAAGGGTGAAGGAGGACACTGCATACCATCACCCACAACATCCAAGTCCTAGGAAAAGAAAGAGAAATGCCTATCAGCAATATCAAATGAACCAATTAGCTAGTTAGCATATTTTTCAGCAAACCTTAAAGCACTTCTCCCACACTTCCCTTACCCCTTGCCTACCTTAAGTCAAAAAAACTTTCCCAAAACGTCCAACAAATGGGATAAGATCCAAAAGCACTAAAATTTTTTCTTTGCTGCCAAGTATAAAGCAGGGACCACCAGTTACTTAAAAAGGAGTATTTTTCAATCAGTCTAATTAAAAATTAAACTGAAATACTGCCTTAAAATATTGGGTAATATGAGATTGTTTTATTAATGTCCTCACAACCACAAAGCAAGTCAGTGAGCAAAAGAGGGAAGGGAGAAAAGAGAAATGAATAAGTAAAGAAACTCAAAGTCTCTCTTAACAGCTACAAAATACTATTTTGGTTAAGTCCTTATCCCCACAGAATTATTGAGTTCCTGATTCTTAAACCTAACAACTAAATGTAAACAAACATCTGTATAAAAATCAATAAAATATATTTTTAAATGTAAACAAACAAAAAAATATTATATTTACAGACTATGTTTCTTCCAATTGAATTGGCTATTCCCACTGGGTCCTGAATGGCCAACAAACCACAGGAAGGCATTGCTCTTGGCTCCTGTTTGAAACCAACAACTACAAAAAAACCACTGGTCTTGATTCAGGGCCTAAAGCATTGCAAAGGCTCAGACGAGGTGTCAAACAGACTTGCATGTCACCCCTTTCTAAGAGGCTATCCCTAACTTCTCCTAAGAGTGAAAATTACCCAAGGGTTTGTACTCCCTTATGTCCAAACCACTCTATAGAGGCTCTATGCTTTCAGTAATCTAATTTCACAAGAAGCACACTTAGTTCTATGCTCTTAAACAGGTCTTAGCGAGTCCAAAATTATTTCCCTTTCTTTGGTGTGTGTGTCACAAAAAACAAGAATCACATCTTCAAAATAATTAAGGTTGAAAAAAGTAAGTAAAGAACATTGGACTTAAAGCTGGTTAATTTAAGCAGAAACACAGAGAAGAGGATAGTCAGATACCTAAAAGGATATATTCACTTCAAATATGTAATATCCACAGAAACCAGTGTTCTCATATGGTTAAGACAACAGACTATTTTCTTCAATTCTTTTACTATGCACATTTATTATACAAATAATTAACTTGGAATTTAAAAATACCCATTTAAGTAGTGAGGCAAAAGGTTTCCAAGTCTCAAGAATGAACAAGAACTAAATTTGGAGAAAGGAACCTAAAATAAGAGGAGGGGGGAAGAATCAGCAGGAAAGCCTACCATAACAAGAATATTTAATCGCAAAGTATCAAACATTGAGAGAACCCATTTTTGTTCTAATCTCAAAACCACAAACAAACAGAGAAAACTCAAAATAGGAATAAGTTATGAGGTTATTATTTGCAAAACATCTTTGGATCAAAAAAAACATAGAAAACAGACAAGTGTAATACCCAGAATGACAGGCTCATCGTGCCTTAGCCTTTTGTGCAGAATTTTTACCCATATTAACAGCTCATACCTGGCCCTCCCCTGAATTAAGTTATAAAAAGTTATTAGTAATTTATAGAAATTTATCTAAAACAATACAGGTGCTGAAACTGGTTTGGCTCAGTGAATAGAGCGTCGGCCTGTGGGCCGAAAGGTCCCGGGTTCGATTCCGGTCAAGGGCATGTACCTTGGTTGCGGGCATATCCCCAGTACAAGGTGTGCAGGAGGCAACTGATCAATTATTCTCTCCCATCGATGTTTCTAACTCTCTATCCCTCTCCCTTCCTCTCTGTAAAAAATCAATAAAATATATATATTAAAAAAAAAAAAAAGTTTAAAACAATACAGGTAACAAAACTGTTTAGTGAAACTCATATAATTAAGAAATCATTTTTTGCCCTAGCCAGTTTGGCTCAGTGATAAAGCACCAACCGGCCTGTGGACCAAAGGGTACTGGGTTCAATTCCGGTCAAGGGCACATACCTCAGTTGCATGATCCTCTCTGGCCCGGGGCCCTGGTTAGGGTGCGTGCAGGAGGCAACCAATAGATGTGTTTCTCTCACATCAATATTTCCGTGTTTCCCTCTCTTCCCCTCTCTAAAAATCAATGGAAAAATATCCTCCGGTGAGGATTTAAAAAAAAAAAAATCATTTTCCCCCCAGCAAAAGTTTATACTAATATATCCAGAATTTGTGGGAAGACAAATTATTTTCTAAAACTGCATTTTATTTCAAATTTTCTGGAAAACTTATGTCTAAAGATTAAAAATAATAACCACATTGTCTAGTGCACCAAATCTATTATGAACACAATAGATTATCAATTACAAATAGCTATCTTAAAAACACACTGGGATTCTCAAAAGTAAAGTTTTTTTTAATATATTCTTTAAGAAATCTGTGCCAAATATAAAGATGGACAGATCTGATGGCATATATTAATATCTTTTAAAATTAAGATTTCTTAACTATCAGGTTTTTCCTACCATCACATCTTACAATATTTTTTTTTTTTTTTTTTATTCATTTCAGAGAGGAAGAGAGAGGGGGACAGAGAGAAACATCTATGACGAGAGAGAATCATGGATAGGCTGCCTCCTGCACACCCCTCCACTGGGATGGAGCCTGTAATCCAGGCATGTGCCCTTGACGGGAATCACACCCAGAACCCTTCAGTCCATAGGCTGCCTGCCACTGTATCCACTGAGCCACATCTTTAATATTTTGTTCTCACATTTCATGGATCTGTGTGAAATTTTTTCTTTTTAAAGAGCAATTATAGCTGAAACCGGTTTGGCTCAGTGGTAGAGCGTCAGTCTGCGGACTGAAAGGTCCCAGGTTCGATTCCGGTCAAGGGCATGTACCTTGGTTGCGGGCACATCCCCGGTAGGGGGTGTGCAAGAGGCAGCTGGTTGATGTTTCTCTCTCATCAACGTTTCTAGCTCTCTATCCCCCTCTCCTCCTCTATGTAAAAAATCAATAAAATATATTTAATAAATAAATAAATAAATAAATAAATAGCAATTATAATCAGGATTATAACAAAAATATTATTATAAATGAAATAATAAAAACCATGTTTACTACACCTATTGACAGAATATAATTCCAAAAAGGAAGAGAAATTATGGAGAAAAAAATTGCAATCAGTTTCTTTTCTTTTTTTTCTTTTTTTAATATATTTTATTGATTTTGTATAGAGAGGAAGGGAGAGAGATAGAGAGTTAGAAACATCGATGAGAGAGTCATCGATCAGCGGCCTCTTGCACACCCCCTACTGGGGATATGCCCGCAACCAAGGTACATGCCCTTGACCAGAATCAAACCCGGAACCCTTCAGTCCCCAAGCCGAAGCTCTATCCATTGAGCCAAACCGGTTTCGGCCAGTTTATTCTTTTTATATATATATATATATATATTTCCCCCTCCCCCCCAATTGATTTCAGAGAGGAAGCAAGAGGGAAGACAGAAACATCAGAGAGAACCACTGACTGGCTTCCTCCTGCACACCCCCTACTTAGGATCAAGCCCACAACTGGGGCATGTGCCTTGACTGGGAACTGAACCAATAACCTCTTGGTTCCTAGGCCAGTGGCTCAACCCCTAAGCCACCCCAGCCAGGTCATTTTATTCTTAATGCTATTCCCCCCCTTCACATATTATCTAGTGTATCTTTTTTAGTAAATTTGGAGGCTATCCAAACCTTACTTCCACCTAATTTTCCATTTAAATTTGTCCCCTTAAACATGCCATGGTTAGACACAAGACACCTTTATTATGAAATTCAAAAAACTTTCTTTAATAATGAGGATCTTTATCCAGAAGGCTAAAAATTAATAAGCAAAGTGCCAAGAGAGAGGTGGAATGTTAACTGCTCCCTAAAGTCAAATAGTAGGATACTGCTAACTAGGGAAACAAAATCTGAGCCGGATTTATGTCCTATGGCCAATCAAACAAGCTGAAAAAGTGTACATATTTCAAAGGATATATAAAAGTAAATACTCAGCCCTGACCAGTTTGGCTCAGTGGATAGAGTGTCAGCCTGCAGACTGAAGGTTCCCAGGTTCGATTCCGGTCAAGGGCACGTACCTTGGGTGCAAGCACATCCCCAGTGGGAGGTGTGCAGGAGGCAGCTGATCGATATCTCTCTCCCATCGATGTTTCTAACTCTATCCCTCTCCCTTCCTCTCTGTAAAAAAATCAATAAATAAAGTATTACTGTTCTAGTCCATTCACAACAGGATTATGTAATAACATCAAATTTGAAAAAACAGTAACCAAGTTTACAGTAATTTCTTGTGATACACATTAATCTGAAAATGAAACTCTTACTATGGAGCCAAAACACAAGTTCACAATGTCAGGAGTAGATTATCAGAACTCAGTATTAAGATGCTGGTGAATCCACTCACCTTGTATAATAGATGGGTAGCATATTTCCTGCTACACTAAATCCAACCATAATCTTGACTTTCTAACTTCCCTTAGTTTACAATTTTCCTTACTATTCCCTCAGAAAAATTTCTGCCAATCTAAACTGTCTCTAAATGAACATACAACCATGCATATATCATTTCAAAAACTTTATCAACTCTCCTGAGCACAAAGGTCTAACCTATACTCAACATCCTATATAAAGAAAGCCTAATATGCAAATGGCAGAGCGACCGAACAGCAAAATGGCTGGTTGGCAGAACCAGCAAGCAGGCAGGTGCCAGCGGGTAGAGGGAGGGGACAGCGACAGGTGGAATTGGAGGGGCAATTGGGGGTCCATGCCATCCCCTGATCACTCCAATGGTCACCTCCTACAGAAGGAGGCCAGACTGCAGCTTAGGCCCGCTCTCTGCCATCAGTCGGACTTCCCCAAGGGCTCCTGTTCTGCAAAAGGGCGCAGGCCAGACTGAGGGACTGCCCCTCCCACCCCCACCTGAGTGCATGAATTTCTGTGTACCAGGCCTCTAGTTAATAAATAAGGCCTTGCCTCAAAGGCCAACCAGAGTAGACTTCTCTAACTTACATCACTGAACTCCAGAGGTAAACTCTCAGTGGGCTGAAGCTCAGCAGCACTCAAGTACAGATCCATGGGGCCGGCTTCCAGATCGTCTGGCACAGACAGTACCTGCTCGGGCTTATACATCTGAGGAGGCAACTGGAAATGCAGTGGGCAGCAGGGATCTTCAGAGAGGCTTACAGGAACTGGTTTGTTGCAGGGTACCTCTTCAGACCCCTGGCAGCATTTGAAGAGAACCTGATTCGTGTCCTGACAAATATCTGCAGAAAAATGGTCAAGGGAAATAAAATGGACCTATGGGAGGTACAAAATACAGGTAGCTGCCATGTAAAACTCAAGGTCTGCACTACAAGATAATTGGTTACATTTGACACAGAACAAAATGCAGTTAGCAATTTTTCTAATTCTAGCTCTATCAGTAATTTAAAACTAGTCCCCAACCTCCATTTTAAGATCCTAGCCATTTAAACTAATCTTGTTTTCCCATATAAGACATCTAAAAACACAGTGCTGAGCAAACAGCAATAACAATCCTAGGAATCTACCCTTACTCAGAAGAGACAAATGTAAACAGTCTGCAGAGGCCTCTACCAACCCCTTCCAAGACTCGTGAGACAAAGCTGTTTCTGCTCCATTAAGATGGATAAAGCCGAAACCGGTTTGGCTCAGTGGTAGAGCGTCGGTCTGCGGACTGAAAGGTCCCGGGTTCGATTCTGGTCAAGGGCACGTTGTGGGCACATCCCCGGTAGGGGGTGCGCAAGAGGCAACTGGTCGATGTTTCTCTCTCATTGACGTTTCTATCTCTCTCTCTCCCTTCCTCTCTGTAAAAAATCAATAATATATATATATATATATATATATAAAAAAAAGATGGATAAAGTTTTTAAACTTTATTTCCAAAATGCTTACAAAATGCTTTGTTTAAAGCAGCAGAGTACTGGAACTGGAGAAAATGGAAGCAAAATAATAGTGACTAGCTATTATATCCTGGAAGTAAAAATATATTTCCATACCCCCTTTTTTTTGGGAAGGGGGGGGGGGAGGGTAGGTAGTGCTGGGGAATCCTTTTATTATCCCAAAGAGAAGAGATGATAATTTTAGGAAAGGCCGGAAAGAAAGTAATCTAGGAATGCTCCTAGGAGCTCTAACAGGACAGTCAATGTTAAGGCTAAAAGCAGAAAAGGATTATTATTTCCAAGTTGACAAAGAAACTCTGTAGGATGAATCAAAATTGAAATCATATCAGATAAAATTCCAGTTCAAGTTACTCTAGAAAGCACATTTTACACAAGTGTTATCATTTCTGAAAATCCTAACTGTATGGTTATTCTCCTATTATTTTAAATTTAGACTTATTTTTTGCCGAGACCGGTTTGGCTCAATGGATAGAGCATCGGCTTGGGGACTGAAGGGTCCCGGGTTCGATTCCGGTCAAGGGCATGTACCTTGGTTTCGGGCATATCCCCAGTAGGGGGTGTGCAAGAGGCAGCTGATTGATGACTCTTTCTCATCGATGTTTCTAACTCTCTATCTCTCTCCCTTCCTCTCTGTACAAAATCAATAAAATATATTGTATTAAAAAAAAAGAAAAAAAAGAAAAGAAAAAGAAAACATAAATTTAGACTTATTTTTAAGAAAGCAAGCACAATTTTCTATAAACTGATTGTATCCAGGATTATTGAATGTCAAGTGTAATTAATAAATTGGGGGGAAAATATTAAGGTAATTTTTAAAAACTAAAAAATGTAATGCACATTGTAATTTTTAAAACAAAAACTTTTAAATAAAGCCATTTCTTTCATTATGCTAAGACAGGATTTCACAATCTTGGCACTAATGACATCACTGGCTGTTCTGGGCATTGTAGAGTGTTCAGCAGCATTCTTGGCCTCTACCCACTAGATGTCAGTAGCACCTCCATCTGAGTCATGACAAGCAAAATGCCTCCACACATTGCCAAATGGGTCAAATGACACCCCCCCCCCCCCCCAACAATCTCTACTCTAAAGGAATAATGGTACAAAATAAATATTAAATGAAAATTATTAAATGAACAAACAAATGAATCTAATGGGAACAGACTTGCAGCCTCTATGTGCTTCAGAAAAACCCAATCTAATTTAAATTATTAATATTTATAATGTTAATCCATTAAATGCTTTAATCACAATATTTTTCATGGAACTTAAAGGACTTTCATAAGTCTCTTATTTAATACCACATATCCTAGGAAGATCCTTCCCCCATCCTCATCCACCCCCCTTCCTTTCAGCTGGGGACAACAAAGACAAAGAGAAGGGAATGGTTGACCTATCTCCTTCACTTTCATCCAGGGCTGTATCCATTAGACCAGGGTAAAGACTTAACAGGTCACCAAGGCAGTCGCATCTTTCTCTGGAATAAGGACTTAAGGAAGGGTAAGTGACTTAGGCAACTATGAAATGAAAAAGAACACAAAAGAAAAAATACTTTCCTTCTCTTTTCAAATACATTTCATTTTCAACTTTAAAATATTAATATTCTAATAAACTATGAGTATAGTACTATAACGAGTGGGGAGCGTCCGGTCCACAGGCCATAAAAGGCCCACGAAAACATTTGGTCTGGCCCTGCCAAGGCATTAGGGGTGAGTTAATTATATACTTGACCAAATATAGCAGGCAAATTTTTAAGTTGATAATTTTATATAGCCCATGAATGATGTTATAAATATACAAATAACCCTTAGCAGACAAAAGGTTCCCCATGCCTGTATTATTATACAAGAAAAATCTAAACTACTTTAATACCTGTAAATTGGCTTTTTGCCTTATAATCAAACTCACTGAAGAAAGCCTGAGAAGTATAAAGCAGAGGGAAAAGGGCATTCATAACCCCACCATCCAAAAAGTCACATTTCTATTAAACTTCCTCCTAGTATTTAGTTCCATGTAGTTAAAACACTCTACAGAATCTTATATTCTATTTTTGTTATCAAATGTTTTCTCATATCATTCATAAAGTTTATTAAATGTTTAATGACAACATATTACTATTTATGTTGTATCATAATTTTCTCCTCCCCATCTCTGAAAAATTTAAGCCTCAAAGTACAGAAATTTTATGGAATACTGGTCCTATATTTAATTATCTCCTTAAGTAAGTTCACAGAGGTGATAGTAACATAGTAAAGAATATAAATAGTCAAACTGCTTTCTAAAAAGCCTGTAACACTTTATATTCCCACTAGCAGTATTTAGAGGGTCCATTTCACCACAATGTCACCAACTTTTGAGATTCACTCATTAAAAATATATATTAGCATCAAATTTATGGATTAAAACATGTTTTATTTCCTATTTCATTTATTTTCAGTAATAGCACTATTAAACTATCAGCTATTTCTTTTTAAATCTGACCAGATTGCCTTTATTTTTTTTAATTTACTTATTATTTTTTAAATATGTTTTTGATTTTTTTTTACAGAGAGGAAGGGAGAGAGATAGAGAGTTAGAAACATCAATGAGAGAGTCATCAATCAGCTGCCTCTTGCACACCCCCTACTGGGGATGCACCCGCAACCAAGGTACATGCCCTTGACCTTTCAGTCCCCAAGCCGACACTCTATCCATTAAGCCAAACCGGTTTTGGCCAGATTGCCTTTAACCAACTAAGTGTTGAGCATTTAATTTCATTTATTAATTACTTTGCACAAGCATTTTACATTAAGGACAACAATTCTTTAGCAGATATTTGTTGTTGCAATAATTAATAAATTGGTAAAAGATTTGACAAAAAGAACAGAAGTCAGTTTTCCTTTCAAAAGACCAGGGAAGGTTCTCTTCTTCCTATTGAAAAAATATTTTACTTTCCAATATTTTTTCTTTTGTCAGGGAACTGAAATCCAGCAAGATTTATGCTTTTCATCTACTAAACATCATAATACTTAACAAAGGCTTTTATAGTAAAAGGCACTTTCTCAATCAATGTTCATATAAAGATGTACTTGCACAATAAACAGTTCAAAGTTTAGTAGCCTGATAAATATAGTCCAATAGCAGAATCAAAAGATGCTCTGATGGTTCAAAGGCAAATTAACTGGAGAGTAATTATCCCATTTTTGGAAACAGTTAAGTTTCCAGTTTAAGTTTCCAATTTGAAAATACAAGTTAAGAGCACTAACCGTACAAAAGGGTAATACTCAAAGGAAGCTCACATTTCAGAACTGTCCTTGTTACTGGTAGAAAACACACAACTTTTTTTTTTTTTTTTTTTTTTTTTGTAACTAGATTTAACAATATAATTCTAATAAACAAGTTAAATCAGGAACTTCTTATATCTGGAACCCCAGTGTTGACTACAAATAAATATTAGCCCACATCTATCACCAATTACTCAGATGTTTCTTTCTAATGAATTGACCATTACATTTCCTAAGTTCTGAAATGGCCAACAGACCATAGAAAGACATTTCTTTAGGCTCCTGCTTGAAACCAGCAGCTTCAGCAAACTGCTGGCCTTGATTCAGGGCCAAAGGATAACAAAGACCTCAATTAAGCAACTATCAGTGTCTCCCACTAGCCTTTCGGTCTAGCTAGCAAACTGAACAAAGTAAAAAGATACGAGTAATGCAGTGTCTGGTCATTGGAAGAGACTGATTAGAACAACGAACATCATCCACAAAGGCCAAGCACCTCTGACTGGAACGAGTGGTATGGGCCTAAAATGGGGAAAAACAGATTAAGTAAAAAAACACAACCAATACGCCCACAAAAGAACGTACAACCAATTATGTATGGGAGTACTTAGTTATAAAATATATGGTACATCTTTAAAAGTTAAATATTCAACATTTATATGTATACTCCAATGCTATGTAAAAATCTCATGTACAAATGAATCAACTCTAATTTGAATCTTATCCCTCCATATTATGAAAGTGCAATGTAAACTAATAATTTTCAAACTATTTTATCTTTCAGCCTTCTCGAAATTGTAAACTTATGTGAAACTTCAACAAATAAAACAAAAAATAAAATTAATCTTATTGAAGCAGAGACCAAGGGCCTGAGAAAAAAATTTAGTGATCACTTACTTCTCCTATCAACCTTTCTTCCCAACATTCATTGTTCCTATTATTCTACCTATTTTCCTGCCTTCTAAAAGAGGATTCCCAAGAAAAATGGGCTTAACCTGTACCTATTTCTGAACCGATGAACTTCTGAACCAAAGAATGCGGCAACCCCTCAATTTGCAGATGGGAATAGAGGCCCAGGGAGGCTATCAGTGCAGGCACAGTACTAGTCAGAAGAAAACCGAGGCTGGAACCTCTGTCTATGGACTTTCAGGTAAGTGCTCTTTTCAATATACCCCACGTCCAGTCAGTCAGATATCAGAGCCAAGACTACACAACAGTGCTTGGACAATTACCCTAACTTTACAAAGAAAGCAAATTTATAAATCTTAGGAATTTATGCACAAATTACCTGTTGGGCAGCACCATCTGTGGCGAGCATTCTACGTTCCTTCAGCTGCCTATGTAGTAGGGCTTCTACTCCATAGCGCTGACGATACCTCCGAAGACATTTTAGACGCTTTAAGTTATCTCGTTCTTTGGCCATCAGTCCCTCTGGGCCAGTCAGGAGACTACTACCTGTAGAGTCACAACATCCAAGATGTTATCTGACAAGCAACCAAACAAGGGCTAGCCTCAAAATTAACAAGTAAACAGAAAAATATTGGGCCATAAGATAGGCAGTTTCAAAAGCAAACTCTCCTCCACTCCAGATATCAACAGAGATAAATGTAGCTACTACTACCAACATGTAGGTTCACATGTTGAACCTACAATAGGTTGTTGCAACTTGCCTAGAGCTTCATGTTCCACTTTCCGATTATGTAAGTAACGTCGCTTCTTCTCTTTGAGCAGATGCTGAAGTCGTTTAAACTGATCAATGTACAAAGACTGTAAACGAATTAGTTTCTCACGCATAATCAGGGCCACTTCTTCGGCTGTGTAGACACCAGCATGTCTGGAATAGAAAATTCCCAGCAATGCATAAAAAAGCACAATAATAAAACCCAAGTTTAAAAGGAGAAAAGGCTAGATACTAGACAATATTTAATAAGCAATCAGTGTTTTTATAATCTTTTTTAAAAATATATATTTTATTGATTTTTTTACAGAAAGGGAGAGAGATAGAGAGCCAGAAATGTCGATGAGAGACACCGACCAGCCGCCTCCTGCACACCCCCCACCGGGGATGTGCCCGCAACCAATGTACATGCCCTTGACCAGAATCGAACCGGGGACCTTTCAGTCCGCAAACCAACGCTCTACCACTGAGCCAAACCGGTTTCGGCAGCAATCAGTGTTGAGACAATCACCTTATTAGTAGAAATCTCTTTATACATTTTACCATTCAAGTTGTTACATAAAAAAATAATCTCCAAGAATGGACACTAATGTATGATCTAGCATGATCTCACCATATGAGGAAGGGAAGAGGTTTCATTATTTTCCCCAGTTATTTGTATTATGTTTAAAAAGTAGGTACAGCTGGGACCGGTTTGGCTCAATGGATAGAGCGTCGGCTTGGGGACTGAAGGGTCCCGGGTTCGATTCCAGTCGAGGGCATGTACCTTGGTTGCGGGCATATCCCCAGTAGGGGGTGTGCAGGAGGCAGCTGATCGATGACTCTCTCTCATCGATGTTTCTAACTCTCTATCTCTCTCCTTTCCTCTCTGTATAAAATCAATAAAAAACATATTAAAAAAAAAAGAGTAGGTACAGAATGCTCAAAATTTATTAATCTACATTCTTATTCCATCTAACAATATGGAAAAACCTCTTAATAGGACAACCTAAAAGTGCTCAATTTGTTGTAAAATGATCTTAATATATTTTAATTAGAGTACAAAAAATAGGGAGAAACCAAGATGGCAGCATGGGTAAACACCTAAACTACCTCCCATAACTATTTATTTTTTTTTTGCTTTTAAATAATTTTTATTGTTCATATTATTACAAATGTTCCTTTCCCCCCTTCTCACCCCACCCTCTGCCCTTTCCCCCCCCCATTGTCCTCATCCATAGGTGCACAGTTTATGTTCAGTCTCTTCCCACATCCCCCTCTCCCCTTTTCCCCAAGAATAAACAGTTCGCTCCCCTTCCATACCTCTGATTCTATTATATTCAATAGTTAATATTGTTCCTCAGATTTTTTTTTTTTAGTTTCCTTGGTTTTTAGATTCACTTGTTGATAGTTACGTATTTGTTGTTCACAATTTTTATCTTTATTTACTTTCGCTTCTGAAAGAACCCCCTTCAGCAATTCATATAATTCTGGTTTGGTGGTGATGAACTCCTTTAGCTTTTTTTTTATTAGTGAAGCTCTTTATCTGACCTTCGAATCTGAGTGATAGCTTTGCTGGATAGATTATCTTTGGCTGTAGGTTCTTGCTACTCATCACCTTGAATATTTCTTGCCATTCCCGTCTGGCCTGCATGGTTTCTGTTGAGAAATCAGCTGACAATCGTATAGGTGCTCCTTTATAGGTAACTACCTTCTTTGCTCTTGCTTCTTTTAATATTCTCTCTTTGTCTTTTGGTCTTGGAATCTTAATTATGATTTGTCTTGGTGTGGTCCTCTTTGGATTCCTTTTGTTTGGAGTTCTGTGTGCTTCCTGGACTTGTAAGTCTAATTCTTTCACCAGGTGGGGAAAGTTTTCTGTCACTATTTCTTTCAGTATATTTTCGATATCTTGCTCTCTCTCATCTTCTGGGACCCCCATAATTCTGATGTTGGTTCGCTTGAAGTTGTCCCAGAGGTTTCTTACATTATCTTCAACTTTCTGGATTCTCTGGCCTTCTTGCGTCTGCGGAGGAGTGTCTTCTGGCTCTTTATGTTCCAAATCTTTGACTTGATTCTTGCCATCTTCCATTCTGTTTTTAGGACTCCATAAAATATTTTTTATTTCAGACAATGTATTCTTTATTTCTTGTTGATCCCTTATTATTTCTAGTAGATCCCTTTTCATATCCTCATAGGTCTTGTTTATTTTATCGGCCTTTTCTAGGAGATTCTTGAACAACCTTATAAGTGTGGTTTTGAACTCTATATCCAGTTGCTTTTTGTCCTCCATTTCTTTCGTTTGTGATCTATTTGGTTTAGGCATTTTCGCAGGCAGCTTTCCTGATGGGGCGGGGTTTCAGGGTGGAGCCCACAGCCTTGGCTTCCGTCAGCCCCGCCCTATGCAACTCCTGAGACTCAGGGTCCTTCAGTACTTGTTGCGAGCGCCTCTGAGAGAAAGGTGCCCTCGATTTTCGCCTGCTGCCAAACTGTCTATGCTCTCCCCCTATGAGTCCGGTATTGGGGTTCAGTTCAGTTGGTAATGGGATTGGAGGTGGCGTTCAGAGCAGTCTGGAGCCCCTGTCTCCTTCCCATCAGGGCAATCCCTCAGCACAGCCAGCCGGCCCTTCTCTGCGCGCAGTGTGCACGCCTCAGGGACCTCCTTTCGCCGCTTCCCCGGAGTCCCGCCTTACAGCCCGGCTCCCTATGGATGAGCCTGGGTCCCCGGGGTCTGGCCTAGAATTGGGGTTCAGAGCAGTTGGAGCTGGGCCCAGCACAGTCGGAGCTTTTCTCTCCTTCCCGCTTGGGACCGCCAGCCAGGCACTCGGCCTCCCTCCTCTCCGGCTCTGTCCTCTCCGCGCGCGCCGCGTGTCTCCGTACCTTGGGCTTTTACAGCTCCTCCGCGCTTCCTTCTGGTTTTCTCCTTGCTTCTTGTTGTAGAATTTCCAGTCAGTCGACTTTCCTGTAGTTCTGGGTAATGTCCATTTTATATTTTAGTTGTATTTTGTTGAAATTGTTGTGTGCGGCTGCGGCTAGTTGCCTACCCGAGCAGCCATCTTGGATTCTCCCCCACAACAATTTCAAAACTACAACTAAAAGACAAAATTAACATCATCCAGAACCACAGGAAAGCTGCCTGACTAGAAATCCTACAACTATCATAGAATTAAAGAGGAAAGCACACAAAGACTCAGAGGAGCTGCAAAAGGCTGAGGTTCGGAGATACAAGTGCAGGCAGCTGAGGGCCTGGCTGGCTTTCTCTAGCAGGAAGAAGACAAAAGCTCCTGACTGCGCTGAACCCCAGTTCTGACTGCACTGAACCCCAGTTCCAGGCGACATCCTGGAACCCAGGCTTATAGGGGGGGAATATGGACTGTCAAGCGGAAACTCAGGGGTGCCACAAAAGGCAGAGGTCTGGAGTCGCACGACTGACTGCTGAGTGCACTGCTGGCTTTCTCTAGTGGGTGGGAAATGGAAGGTCCCCACTACGCTGAACTCCAGTACCAGGCGAGAATCTGGGAATCCAGATTCATTGGGAAAGAAACTGAACTCTCTGGCAGCAGGCGAAACTCGAGGGTGGCTTCCTCTTAGAGGTGCTTGCAGCGATGACCAAGGGACACTGAGACCCAGGGGCCTCATAGGGCAGGGCTGACAGGAAGCCAATACTGTCTGCTCAGCACTGAGACTCTGCCCCATCCAAGCTGAGCCCAGAGGTTTTTGCAATTTTGCAAGTCTGATCCTATAAGACTGTCTCCAATACAGAAGGTATCCCAGAGTAGACACAGCTGATACTTACATCTAATGGGCCTGGAGGTCAATTCCTCCCAGTGATACCAACAACAATCAAGTCTTAATTACAACAAGACTGTTCACGCAGTCCACGAAGGAGAGCACCAAGAGTGTCTACCTCAGGTAACTGAGGAGGCTGACCCACTGGGCCATGTAGGACACCAAGCATACAAAGAGATCCTACCAACTCTGGGAAGCAGCAAAAATGCGGAGACAATTCAGAATTGAAGGTCAGATAAAGAGCTTCACAAGTAAGAGAAAGCTAAAGGAGTTCATCAACACCAAAGCAGTATTATATGCTGAAAAGGTATTAAGAAAAGGAAGAAAAAGGTAAAGATAAAAATTATGAATAACAAATGCATATATACCAACTATAAGGTTCTCCCTCCACCCAACTGGTGGGCAGAGTTATGACACTACTGGCACCTGTCACAGAGACATCTCCAAGACATTGAGCCATCAATCAGCGCCTGCTAAAGTGCCCTGGAGCCCACCCTTTCCTATTCTGCCCTGGGTCCAACCCTCTTCTGTTCCTCCCCTTAAAAGGACCCCCAGACCAGCTACCTGCTGCTGATCCTCCATGTCCAGGTGGCAGCCCGGCTGGGTCCATCTCCCCTCCCAATTCCTTCAATTCTGACTTCTCTACCTCCATAATGAGTCCCGCTCATTACTGGGGAATAAACTTTACTTTAAAACTCCTTGGTGATCAGTTTCCTGCGCCTCAAACCTTACACCAACTAGAGAATTAAAAATCTGAGGAACAGAATAAACTGGTGAATATAATAGAATCAGGGGCATAGAAAGGAAGTGGACTGAAAATTCTAAGGGGAAAGGAGTGTGGGGGGTGCGGGAAGAGACTGGACAAAAATCGTACTCCTATGGATGAGGACAGTGGGGGGAGGTAAGGGCAGAGGGTGGGGTGGGAACTAGGTGGGAGGGGAGCTATGGGGGGGAGGGGGGGAAAGAGGAACAATTGTAATAATCTGAACAATAAAGATTTATTAAATTAAAAAAAATAAAGTACAAAAGATAAACAATTTTAACTTCTAACTTAAAAATACATTCCTAAAAGAGCTCTAAATTTGTGAATAGAAAGAAAAGCCTGGACCCTTTGCCTTTCAAGGATATTGTGGTACATAAAAGGCAAAGTTTGTGGTGAATGAGAGCAGCTAAATTGAGGTCAGACTTGCTTTTGTAACGTGGAATTAAAATAATAATAATTAAAAACAAACATTCCTGCCCTAGCTGGTTTTGCTCAGTGGATAGAGCACTGGCCTGTGAAATAAAGGTTTCCAGATTCAATTCCAGTAAAGAGCACCTGCCAAGGTTTCAGACTTGATCCCCAGTAGGGGGCGTGCAGGAGGCAGCCGATCAATGACTGTCTCATCATTATTGATATTTCAATCTCTCTCTCCCCCTCTCCCTTCCCTTCTGAAATCAATAAAAGTATATTTTTTATATAAAGACATTCCTGCCATGGCTGAGAAGTTCAGTTGGTTGGAGTGTTGTTCTATACATCAAAAGGTTGCAGGTTTGATTTTTGGTCAGGGCGAGTACCTAGGTTGCACATATTTTAATGAGCCTAAAACTTATTTTGGATAATGTTCCTCACAGAACTTAAAAAAAAAAAAACCTTGTCCTATCTGGTTTGGCTCAGTGGATAGAGCACTGGCCTGTGGACTGAAAGGTCCCAAGTTCGATTCGGTCAAGGGCACAAGCCCGAGTTTTGGGCTCAATACCTAGTAGGTGGTAGCCGATCAATGACTTTTTCATCATTGATGTTTCTCTCTCTCTCTACCTCTCCCTTCCTCTCTGAAATCAATAAAAATATATATATTTTTAAAAGCCTTATATTTCATCGCCTAATCGCTGCCCTGACCTTTGGATGTTCCTTTTAGGATAAACTAACTTTGAGTGTCTAGTCCTTTTAACACTTATATTTCTCATATAACTGATATTTTGGTTGCTATAGTAGTCTCTTGTAAGTTATATTCATATGACTGTAGTATCCCCTAGACACTGATCTCAATTACTAATAATAAAATCAAGTTTCTGGACCTTTAAAAAAAATTGTGACCCGCCCTAATCGGTAGAGCTTTGACCTGCGGACTCAAGGGTCCCAGGTTCGATTCCGATCAAGAACATGTACCTTTGTTGCGGGCACATCCCCAGTAGGGGGTGTGCAAAAGGCAGCTGATCGATGTTTCTCTTTCATCTATGTTTCTAACTCTCTGTCCCTCTCCCTTCCTTTCTGTAAAAGATCAATAAAATGTATTAAAAAAAAAAAAAATTGTGACCCTACAGAGCACACACCTCTTCAATGCAACAAGTTTGGCATTTGTAGAAGTACAATGAAAAATAAAATTAACCCTTTGCACTCCAAACCATTCTGGACATTGGCTACCAGCTACTCGACGCTAACGGCGGAAACGTGCGTTGAATTAACTCAATTCCCCGTAATCACTAATAAACTGCAATGTCCCCTGAGAGGGGACATCCGAGTGACATGCTAGAATTCCGATGTCCCCTGAGAGGGAACAGCGGAGTGCAAAGGGTTAAAAATATGCTTGATATAAAATTACTGTGAAAGAATCTTGCTAGAAAACAAATATTCCTTCTCAAACTACCAAGATGGACTTTCCAAAAAAGTATTTTAGAGTTGCTAACTATACTGAAATTACTCAAGAGAAATAGATTAAAATCTACTTAGAAAAATTTAACCTTAAATTAAAATAAACCTCAGAATCCAAGGTAATGAAGAAAATTCTAAGAATTGAAGTTCAACACACTCTAGTCTAGAAATTCCTTACTCTATTATTTACATCCTTCTACCTAAATTGTCAGTGGAAGTGCTAAGAGACACAAGTCAGAGAGAAGGAAAAAAAAAATGCAAACTAAACTAAACCATGAAACATAGCAATATGAGACTTAGGAGTAGCAATGCTTAACGGTTTTTGTTTCTACAACTCCTAACATGAATATGGGTTCCATAAAGAGAGAAACCACAAGATATAATTAGGCCGATTACTCACTCTTTGGTTTCTATTATAAATCAGTTTCTTTCTCCTAGACATGAAACCAAAGGATATTCTTGAAATATCTTTTATTTTTCTTTAAAAAAATAAAAAACCCTGATGTAACTTTGCAAAGGTAGTTTTTTAAATACAATCACTTTATTATTCCTGAGTTTTATGCCAAGAATGCATCCATGCCCTCGTCAGTTTGGCTCAGTGAATAGAGCGTTAGCCTGCGAACTGAAAAGTCCCAGGTTCGATTCCGGTCAAGGGCAACATGCCAGGATTGTGGACTTGCTCCCCCCTGAGGGACTTGTAGGAGGCAGCCGATCCATGATTCTCTCTCATCATGGATGTTTCTATCTCTCTCCCTCTTCCTTCCTCTCTGAAACCAATAAAAATATATTTTAACAAAAGAATGCATTCACATTAATTACTTCTTCTCTAATTGATTTAAGCATTTCTCAACCCTCCTATGTCCAACAAATTTCCTATTTTCTCTCCTATACTTACTCAGGTGTAGAATTAAACATACAAACGTTTTCCCAAAGTACAAGACTTCTAAAAAAAGAATCAGATCCCTATGGGGGGGGGGGGGGGGGGAGTTAAAATATGTACACAGATAATAATAAATAAATAAAAAGAAGCAGATCCTGCCTCAAAGTGAAATGATGAATAATCATAACCCTTTTACAGAATCTCTTTCTGCTCACAAACAGCTAAGCTTTCTTCAACCCTTTTAGGTTATTAATTTTATAACAGTACACAGTACTACATTCCACATACTAACTACATAAAATATTTAAAAGCCTCTGTGAAATTACAACTTACTTCAAGGGATCTTCTTGATCACTGTCTATGCTATCAGCTTCACTGTCAGGGTCACCTCTCCATGTCTGATCCACAGTAATGGGTTCCTGCTCCCCATCACTCCAGCTGTCTTCATCTGAGGCAAGGAAGGGACAGCAGCCATTAAGACTTCCCACCTCTGTACCTTCACCACACAAAACTAGGTTACTTAACAAATCAACCCAAATCTTAAAACTGAGTCAACCATGCTCTCAAAAGGACATGGTCCAATTCAAAATTATTTTTGTTTCCTAAAATTACCTTCCATAGCAAAGATAGTATTATAAAAACAGCAATGAAGAAAACAGTCATAAACTCAGGCAAGTAAACCTAAGCACACACTATATTTCAAACTGAAAAGAATTGATAAACATAGCAATCCTGGAATCTCAACAATTTGCCAATGAATTAATAGTATTGTATTATCAAGTACCATATACTGGTATGTTCAAAGCACTGTGCTAAAACCAGCAAGTACTTTGTTACCTTTCCTCCTCCTTTTTCATTCTAGGAGAGAATATCCTTACCCAGAATTCGGCTGGCTTCACTGCGACTACTTTCTGGAGTCTGAGACCCCAGCTCTGACTTAGCATACGAGCTCAGCTGGCACAAGAGTGTTTCTCCCATCGGCCCTGGAGTGGTCTTCTTCATTTGAGCATGCAGTGCCAGTGCATTCCTACGGGCATGTTCAGCACAGAAGGACACCCTAAGGAGACAAATAATTAACATTTTATTTATTTATTTTTAAATATATTTTATTGGTTTTTTTTTTACACAGAGGAAGGGAAAGGGATAGAGAGCTAGAAACATCAATGAGAAAGAAACGTCGACCAGCTGCCTCTTGCACACCCCCTAATGGGGATATGCCCGCAACCAATGTACATGCCCTTGACCGGAATCGAACCCGGGACCTTTCAGTCAGCAGGCTGACGCTCTATCCACTGAGCCAAACCGGTTTCGGCAAATAATTAACATTTCATATTCAGATAAGTTCTTTCTGGAAAAAGTTCAATAACTTTCATTACTCGCTGATCTTTAGATCACTTTTAGGAAATTAAAATAACCGTTATCTCATCCTAGCTAGTTTGGCTCAGTGGACAGAGCTTCGGCCTGCGGTCTGAAAGGTCCTGGGTTCGATTCCAATCAAAGGCACATGCCCAAGTTACAGGCTTAATTCCCAGTAAAGGGCGGGCAGGAGGCAGCCAATCAATTTTTTACTTTTATCATTGATGTTTCAATCTCTATCTCCCTCTCCTTCCTCTCTGAAATAAAAATATATTTTAAAAAATAAATAAAATAAATAACCATTATCTTCCTTTACAAATATTTAAAAGTAAGGTGAAGCAGAGTAATTTATCTGGTCCAAGATCAACTCATTTGGTTTTACTGAAGGGAAATGCAGGTAGCATAATCTAGTGCTCTATCCACCAAACAAAACATCCTGACTACAAAATGCTGACATCTCAACAAATCAAAAAAATCCACTTTTATCTTTCAAAATTGGTTCTGGAAGGCAACTCTACATTTTACTTCAATATTACACATATTAGGTAATAAGATGTCGCACACAATTTTAAAAAGGTATATGAAGAATTTTCTACCCACGTTATACTCTACATGGATATCTTTGTATGTAATGAAAGCTATGAAGCCTTTCCCAGAATACACATTTTACATGTTATTTAATAAGGTTCAAAAATGGCCAAGAGTCAGGGACCCCAGGTTAAGAAAAATCTAGATTATCCCTTTAAAGATAAGAGCAAAAGATCCAAAGAGAAGATCTGAGTGATCCAATGGAAAATAGTATCATCCCAATTTTCACCAATTTGTCCCAGTTTCTACCAATTTTTTTTTTCTTTTCCAAGGATATATTATTCATAATCCCAATTCTGGAAGCATGTGGGCTTAAAAACTCAGTAGCTACATCCCAGCCCACATGATACCGCATTCCACCCCAACTTTAAAACTGAAAGAACAAACAAAAATATCTATACATATATACCCATCTTTCTTCTCAGGCTTTGGGGCAGCACTGGGGCATCTTTTTCCATTCTTCGTCGATATGTAACTACATTGCTTGAAAGGTGCATTCTTGTCTTCAAGGATATGCTTAATGCAGAACTCCTGTCCCTCCAGGCGAGGTTGCGAGCACGGGCGGGGAGTGAAGGAACAAGAGAGGGACTCCTGAGACCTGGGAACTGGGGTGATCCTCCCTCGATTGGTCGGCAAGACGTGGATCCGAATCCTGTTCATACCAAACCCTGCAGGATCACACAGAAGATCAAAAGGCCCTTACTCTTGTCAAAAATTCCTCCTCCACAATGGCGGGGCGGACCGCGAGGAACTTTCTAAAGGACAGACAGGAGACACTCTCCCTCTCTCTCCTCAGGCAATAGGGAGTCAGCCTCACCTCCTCTTCTCCCTCTACCCCATCCCAGCCACACCCCTACCCCACCACCACCCCTCCTACCCCTACCCCCACCCCTACCCCTAGCCTCACTCCCACCCCCACCACCACCCTACTCCATCGCCATCACCACCTCTACCCCATCACTACCACCCCTACCCCCCACCCCTACCCACCACCATCTCTACCCCACCACCCCCACCTCTACCCCATCACTACCGCCGCCCCTGCCCCCTCACCGCACCCCCGCCCCCACCCCTGCCCCACCGCCGCCGCCCCCGCCCCTCACCGCCATGCTAAAAGCAGTGCAGGGACTCGCACCTCCGCAGCACGAGGGGGAAGCCTCAGCGCTGGCCCCCAGCGGCGGCAGCCACGCCACAGAGCCGCGTCCCTCCTCCGCCTCCCTCCACGCCGTCTTTGTCCCGACCCGCCTCAGAGCTCGTCCTGTTCCAGCCCGTCCTCGGCAGCCCGGGAGAGCGCCATTTTGTACTAAGGTTCCGGGCACCGGAGCATCTGGGTCCGGGAAGCCTGTAGGAGGAGAGCCACCCCGACGCTGACAGAGTGAGAGGAGCAGCCCGGAGGGGGCAGAAGGGGCAAGGCCGCAACCTAACTGCGAAGACCTAACGTGAGCACCGCCGCCATCTTACCTCCGCCTCCGCGCCGCACCGTGCCGCGCGCCCTTCTGGCCCCGTCAGCTACTCTAGCTCAGCCCCGCGCCTTTCCGGGCTCCCAGCCGCTGATTGGCTAGCGCTCCTACGGCGGTGTGCCGCCATTGGCCAAAGTCACTACCTATCACGCCTGGGGGCGGGGCCCCAAGAAAATGTGCGGCTGAGGTAGGAGAGACGACCTGTCTGTCAGCAGCTCCGCCCCGCCCCGCCCCGGGGAGCGTGAGGCGGCCGTGGGGAGCGTAGAGCTGTAGTTCCACCTCAGAGCGGAGCGGGATTCAGGCCGTTTTGGGGCGCTCTGCCCGTGGTCTTTGCTTGTCGCTACCCCAGCACATCTACATAACTAGCAAAAAAATCAGACATTTGACGCTTTAGGAAAAGGCCTTAGTTTTCTTTTGTGAACAGTTTACTTACTGAAACACTTTCTGAGTATTTACTGAGTCTGAGCGATTACATACATAAACATTTAATTTCCCAAGCAACCCTATGAGGTAGAGGCTATTACCTCCATTTTACAGATAACTTAGAAACAGAATGGCTAAATGAGGGAGAGAGGCAAATCTGAAACCAGCCCTCATTCTAATTATCACCCCCTTTTGCCTCTCAGAGAGGAAAGAGCATGGGACGGAGAATAAGGAAATACTACAATAGTTGTGGTTGAGACCCTGACTGAAATTCTCTATCGTTCCTAAATAACGCGGGTATATAGAAAGAGCACACACAATCCCAATTTTATAATCCTTTAAGGATTTTTTTTTTTTTTTTTTTTTTTTTTTGTAGTTGAAAGCATCTCTTTTTTTCCCTTCTTGTGGAAATGAACTAACATCTTCCACATAAACTTCCTGGATCTTTTTTGCACCCAACCTCCCCAAGCACTCTTATCTGCTATCAGTTTAAATTTAAATAAGAGATTTCTCCACTGCCAAAACCGTTTTGGCTCAGTGGATAGAGCCTCGGCCTGGGGACTCAATTCCGGTCAAGGGCATGTACATTGGTTGCGGGCACATCCCTAGTAGGAGGTGTGCAGGAGGCAGCTGATCGATGTTTCTCTCTCATCGATGTTTCTAGCTCTCTATCCCTCTCTCTTCCTCTCTGTAAAAAATCAATAAAAATATTTTTTTTAAAAAAGAGAGATTTCTCCACTACCAACGAGGAGGTGAGCATAGAGAATCCACAAGAACAGCAGTTTAGCCACAAGAAATTATTAAAACAAAAATTGGAGAGTGGTGGGACAGGTGAAATGCTGTTTCCAGAGAGTAGGGTAGCCCTGAAATGTATTCAACAAATTATTTACTGAACACCTAAGTGCCAGACACTAGAGAACAAGGAAGACAACCCTGCTTTTTTGTTTTTTTTGTTTGTTTGTTTGTTTTTAAATATATTTTATTGATTTTGTACAGAGAGGAAGGGAGAGAGATAGAGAGCCAGAAACATCGATGTGAGAGAGTCATCAATCAGCTGCCTCTTGCACACCCCCCACCGGGGATATGCCCACAACCAAGGCACATGCCCTTGACCGGAATCGAACCCGGGACCCTTCAGTCCCCAAGCCGACGCTCTATCCATTGAGCCAAACCGGTCCTGGCAACCCTGCTTTTTTGAAGTAAACATTCTAGAGTAGCTTGGATTGTGGATGCAATACTAACATATGATTTATATACACTCCAATCCTCAAAGGGTACAAAGAAGACATGTTATAAATACCCTATAACTCGCTGACCGGCTCAATGGATAGAGGGTCAGCCTGCAGATTAAAAGGTCCCAGATTCGATTTCAGTTATGGGCATATACTTTGGTTGTGGGCACATCCCCAGTATGGGATGTGCAGGAGGCAGCTGATTGATGTTTCTTTCTCTCTCCCTTCCTCTCTGTAAAAAAATCAATAAAATATACTCAAAAAATATAAAAGTGGCAGTGTTCACTTATTAAAATAAATAAATAAATAAATATACCCTGTAGCTGAAACCGGTTTGGCTCAGTAGATAGAGCGTCAGTCTGCGGACTGAAAGGTTCCGGATTTGATTCCTGTCAAGGGCATGTACCTTGGTTGCAGACACATCCCCAGTAGGGGGTGTGCAAGAGGCAGCTGATCCATGTTTCTGTCATTGATGTTTCTAACTAACTCTCTGTCCCTCTCCCTTCCTCTCTGTAAAAAAATCAATAAAATATATATATTAAAAAAAAAAATACCCTGTAACTCAAAACTAGCCAGAGGCAGTCACATTACAGAAAAGTTTGGAATCAGAATCTGCAATCAAATGTGGCCATATAAAAAAGGGAGTATTGCCAAAACCGGTTTGTCTCAGTGGATGGAGCTTCGGCCTGAGGACTGAAAGGTCCCGGGTTCGATTCCGGTCAGGGGCTTGTACCTTGGTTGTGGGCTCATCCCCGGTAGGAGGTGTGCAGGAGGCAGCTGGTCGATGTCCTCTCTCATCGATGTTTCTAGCTCTCTCTCTCTTTTCCTCTCTGTAAAAAATCAATAAAATATATTTAAAAAATAAAATATAAAATAAAAAATAAAAAAAACATTGAGGTTCTCGATATTAAAAATAAAGAAGTAAAGGAGTATTAAAACTATAATTGGAACAGTGTAAAGAGGAATTAAGAACTAGATAGAGATGCAACAAAGATTTTGTTTAATTAGAAGGTTTTAGTTAAAAAGAAAAAAAAGATACTTCTGCTGAGCCCAGAACAGACAAAAAATCCTATTTAGAACCACTTCCCTCTAAATTGAAGAGGGGACAGATTTTATTTATGGGTCAAGATAACAAAATTTTTGTGCTGTTTAACAAAGTAGATGGCTGTTTTTAATCCATTGCACTCTTTGTTAGCTATTGAATAGGTTAAAGTGGACTGAGGGTGTTTGTTGAGGTTGGGAAAGATGAATTCTTTTCTTTTTTATTATTAAGAGTACCTTTTTAAAGCTAGGGACAGTGAAATAAAGCAGGGCTTAGGAGAGAAGCAACAAGAGAAAACTGGGACCTTTCAGTCCACAGACAGACGCTCTACCACTGAGCCAAACCGGCTTTGGCGAATGTCAAACTCTTGCTCTTTAATGTTTTTTTATTTTAGAGAAAGGGAGAGGGATAGAGAGGTAGAGACATCACTTGGCTGCCTCCTGCATGTCCTCCCCCGCTGGAGATTGAGCCCACAACCCGGGCATGTGCCCTGACCAGGAATCGAGCAGAACCTCTTGGTTCATGGGTCAATGCTCAGCATTAAGCTAGACCAAACTCTTGCATTTTCTATAATCCTCTTCATCTCAGTATATGACAACTCCATCCTTCCAGTGGGTCAGGGCAAACAAGTGGCAGTCATCCTTGACTTCTTTTTCTTCTAACCTTATAGCAAACACTACAGGTTCCAACTTTAAGATATGTAATTTCTCATTATCTTTAGCACTTCCAACCTGATTCAAGCCACTCTTTTCTCTCAATTATTGTGAGCCTCTTTACCCTTGATTCCTACAATCCATTTTGAACAGAAGCCCAAATGAACATTTAAAAAATTTTTTTCCAAATGAACATTTTAAAACCTAAGCTAGAGCATGTCACTTCTCTGCACAAAATGTTTCATTGGTGCCCTATTTCACTCTCTCTATAATGGCTTACAAGACCCTACAATATCTAGCCTTTTATTTCCCCTCTAACCACATATTCTACTTTCTCCTCTCCTCACTTATTTTCATACTGGCTTCCTTGCTCTACTACCTCAGAACCTTTGCCATTTGTTTCCTGGAATGCTCTTACCCCAACTATTTCCATGGCTTGCTCCCTCACCTCTTCAGATCTTTGCTGAATTGTAATTTCATGAGACCTTCCTCCCTAGCCATCTTTCCAATTTCAACACTCTACTTACCTGCTTGCTCTCTCTCTACCTGCTTGGTTGCGCGCGCTGTGTGTGTGTGTGTGTGTGTGTGTGTGTGTGTGTGTGTGTACGCGCGCGCTCCCCTCCTTCCCTGCTTTACATTCTCCAAAGTACTTATTATTGAATTGTTTTACTTGTCTTCCTACCACTAGAATATAAGTTCTACAAGGACAGGATGTTTTTGTTTGTTTACTGCCATACTCCCTAGAAGAGAGTACACAGTACTTGGTAGGTACTATTTTCTAGTGAAGGAATAAATGAAAGGTAAGGAAGTGCCTGAAACTATTTTTCAGAAAAGATGTCTCTAGTACAGCAGGTCCTTCAATTAATTTCCTTGTGTTCAACATCGGTTATAACTTTGAGAACAAATCCCTTCCCCACCAAGGCCACTGTGTGGAGTTTGCACTTTCTTCCCATGTCTGTGTGGGCTTTCTCCAGGCACTCCCACAGCCCAAAGATGTGGAGTTAGTTTTGTGTCAAGTATCCGAGTATGGGTGTGTGATGAGTCCTGATGGGTATCCTGTCCATGGTGGGTTGAAAAATCATTATCTTACTTGTTTCTATTAATCTTGCTTAAGTGAATGTATAGTTCACATCTATTTCAGTGTTTAATATTAGGTTTGGGGTCTTTATTTACAAGTTTGGTAACTTTTTTTTCTCACCGGAAATATGCTATAGCAGTGGTTGGCAAACTCATTAGTCAACAGAGCCAAATATCAGCAGTACATCGATTGAGATTTCTTTTGAGAGCCAAACTTCTTAAACTTCTAACGCCACGTCTTCAAAACAGACTCACCCAGGCCATGGTATTTTGTGGAAGAGCCACACTCAAGGGGCCAAAGAGACGTATGTGGCTCGTGAGCCACGGTTTACCGACCACTGTGCTATAGGAACTTAATCTTGTTAATGTCTATTAGCTTATAGTAAAATTGGTTTCCTTACCCATCGTTTCACTTAAAATGTCAGTTTCCAAGAATCTATCAATGACATTAAGACTTACTATATTTTTTTTAAGAATGCTTTTACTTGCTTTTAGAGAGAATGGGGAGAAACATGGATCAATTGCCTCCCTCACACACCCCAACCAGGGGTCAAACTCACAACCTTTTGGTGTACAGGATGTTCCAACTGAGCCACCTGACAAATACTATATTCAAGTTTTACTTGTTTTCATTATCTGTTGGTTTTGAGTATTACGTGAAACAATACTTATCTCCCTACCCTGAGATTCCACAGTGCAAAAAGGTAGAACAAGGACATGTGACAATCCACACATCAAATTAATTCAGTAGACCTTAGAGCTAATAAATACAGGATGGGGCAAAAGTAGGTTTATAGCTGTATGTGAAAGTTTACTCTTATATTATTTACTATTGTATTCTTTTCCATCTTAACAATTGTAGATCTACTTTTGCCCCACCTTGTATAAATTTCTGATGGAATCCACAGAAGTCATAGAAAAGGTTTCAAACTTTCTAAAGAAAGTTGAATGATAAGGATCAAACGAATTTATTTAGGTCTCAAAAGTGTGATGAGCTCTGGCCAGTGTAGCTCAGTTGGTTAGAGCATCATCCTGTACACCAAAAGATGGAAGGTTTGATTCCTAGTCAGGGCACATGCCCAGGTTTTTGGTTCAATCCCCAGTCGGGGTACATGCAGGGGGCAACCAATTGATGTTTCTCTCTTACATAGATGTTTCATTCTCTCTAAAAGTAAAAAAAAAAAATTTAAAGTGTGAGGAAAACTTATAAGCCTACCTCTGCATCAGTTAGCTTAACGAACCCTTTAATTGAGGGTACAATTGTACGCAACCTTTATATTGATTTGTCTCCATCTATTCCCAAGGATGATACAATTGATATTAACTCTATTAAAAAAGGCAAATCACTGTTTTTTTATTCTTCCATTCAACCTGACCAGAATTCCTAAAATGTCAGCAACTTACAGAAGTTTCAAATGTGCACAGTAAACAAAACTCTTGTCTTAATTTTTAAAAATGGAATGAACAGAACTCAAATGATTTTTCAGAAACATAAATAATTCTGCTCAATTTATTTTTTTCCTTTTAGAGCTTTTAAACTATAACTATTGCTAACTGTATTATAATTCTGGAGTACTTTAGCATAAAAATTATTTCCCTTTAAATGTGTAATGAACAAGATTTACCTGTGTATATGGTCTTTATTATATCCCAGGAAAAGAGTATTCACTATTAATTTTTCCAGGTACCACCAAGAATGCTATTATTTTTTCCTTTCAAATGCACTCCTTACCTATCCCATTTCATTTTTTTCAAAACCACATATAAAATTATGAATCACGTTTATAGTGCTTGCTAGATTAAGGAGTACATGTTGCTACCATCTGTTAGAGCTATATATTTTTTGTGTAGCAGTTACTCTCCCAAGTATCCACACAATATTAAATGAGGGTTTACTACATCATACTTTATACTCTCAGTTCATGTGATGACCAAATTTTAGGCCTTTCCAATGGACTCAATTCCCATAGGATCTTGTGTAGTAAGAACTAGCAAAAGTAAAACAAAACTATTATACAGTAAGAGCAATAAAATGACAGTTAAAGACTAACTGAAGACTCAATATGCAAAAATAACAATGAGTGTTTTATAATTAACATTTATTGATGGGATGGATAAATACAGATTGAGAAACATACTTGACAGCAATATATCAAACTGATAGCCAGACTATAAAATGTATACAACATCCTTTTTTTAAATTTAAAAAAACAATTTTTTATTTTTTTTACAAAGAGCCCTTACTGTAATGGTCACTTACATCCTATCATTCACATAACAACAATAGAGATACCAGGGGTAGCATCCAGAAGTGAGATGCCCCAAGGAGGGAAGAGGCAACAGCAGAATAATATGCTGCGAAAGAATTCTTAAGAGCAATACAAAGAAAACAGACAAAAATATCACCACAAAATTGTACCTGAGTGACATAGATTGGTAAAGTGTTTTACTTTTCTTTTTCATTCTTTGCTCTTTGGTCTGGTAAGAAAACGGACAATTTTAGGTGTGTGGAGTTCAGGTGGGAAAAAGGTCAGTTTCAAATCAGAAATCTAAGTTAACACTAAATTAGGCTGCTGCATTCTTTTCTTTGAGAGCTTAACCCAGCCAGCATCTCCATCTTGTAATCAATTTCAAAGTGATTAACCACTAATCAGTTAGGTCCTCAGCTTTCAAATGAAGACTTCCTGATAACCTGATGAATACATATTTGCTCTGGCTTCAATTAGCATGCTGTCAAGCATCCCTCTCCACACTTAACATGACAAAAACTCAATAATCTTTCTCTTCGTTTCATTCAACCATGAATACACACACTCATAAAGGGGGAGAGTAGACACAACTTTTTAATAAACATTCTTTTTCTTTTCATCCCTTTCCAATGCCAAGTTTATATTAAATACTTTAGAAACATTAAAATGGAAAGCACTCCCATTAAAAAATAATTATCATCCTAGACCATTCTATCAGGCAGGATTACAGTACCATGCTTGTTTAAAACTCACATCCAGAAGTATAAAAAGATAAAATAAAACTTGACAGGGTGATACCACATAACAGTTCCTAAACCATCAGGAGCAAGTAGTTAAAAGCTGTGTGTTAGTTAACAAGCAGCAACATGAGAAATTTGGGGAGGTATCAAAATCACTGAAGGTTTAAATGGGACTGCAGAGGACTTATTTCTCCACATGTGAGGGGTTGCATAGACTGCTAAAATTCTCCCAAACCCAAGAGAATAGTATTTGTATTCTAACTTCAAGATGGTCTAGAATTTCCCTTTTCCTAGCATTAGTATCAAAACAATTCATCAACGAAAGAATAATCCTCTTAAAAAATGATTTCCCAAGGTCCCAGGTTTCTGTGGGGAACACAGATGTGTTTAAAATCCAACCGTTCTGGGATAAGACCACCCCTCTAGTTGCCTTTGTCCAAGAAGCAAGGTGTCAGGGGTATGCCATTTCCAATATGGGGAATTAGATAGCATAGGCTTAAGGAAATCCAGCACTAATGTTACCATGATTTTATTTCTGTATCCTAATCCAATGCTGTTTCTAACTGGAAATTTTATTTCTATTTGCTCAGGTGAAGCCAGTAATACCAAATTATAAAAAAGAATGCATTAAATCAAAACACTAAAATCATTTTTTTAAAAAGAAAAAGAAGCCGAGGGTCTCAGATATGGAAACACATTGATTCATGAGTGAAAAGACTAAACTAATTCATAAGTGTTTTCTAAACCCAAAAGCATAACTGATACTTCAGAAGACCAATTTAGCTTTAGATTAATGCTTCATTAAGAGTTCAGCTAAGAGCAACACAGGTATTGATTAACAACCTTAAGGACAATCCACAGGTATTTGTTTTTACCAACATGAGACTCAATCCAAGTTTAGGAATGAGATTTATAGAACTTGAGGTTCTAGGCCTGCTTACTACCACTTATCCTTGATAGTTTACATTAAAGGGGGGTGAGGAGAAACCATGTTTACTGGACTAACTTTAATGTATAAATCTCATTTCTCACCCTTTGAAAGTGTGAGGGGAGAGAAGAAATCACACAACCCTCTGAAGCCTAAGTTTGCGAGAATTTGGATAATATGCATGCTACTTCACAGGCACACTGCTAATCCAAAGACAATGCAACAGCTTCATGCACAGCCCATAAGCTGGTTCATGACATATAAATAGATCTAAAAGCAGACATGGTAGGTATCTTAAAACAGTATCAGGAGGCATTAATGTAGAAAAGTCTCTAAACTGATCTATACCAGCAATGATCTAGTAGTGCATAAGCCAGACTACACAGCATAAAGCAGCTCTTAGGCTTCAGTAAGCACTTTTTTCTAGTTCACTCCTGACAAAGTTTTAAGGAACTAAGTAGGCTGCCATAGGGAATTGCAAATGAAGCCAAGCGGATATGTATGTTCTGTGGTGAAGGAGTACATGTGATTAGAAAATATGCAACATTTGATGAGAAAAATCAAAAGTTGGAGAAGACATTTTCATAATTAAGTCAGTGATAATCAATTCCACAAAGACACAGAACCAAACTAAATAGCCTTCTTGGAAGGCCAAGAAGGAAAGCAGAATCCACCAAACAAAATCTAAACAAATAGCCTATATTTAGTAAAGACACCACACATCTACCAATTAGCACAACATACACTGTATGAAGGAGAGAGAGGAAAATGTCATCTATAAAAGTGAAGTGACATTCCATGTAAAAAAATACTAATTTATAGACTGGCAGAGAGCTCATTTTACACAGTAATGGCAGGCACTCTAGACAGTTCAAATATGACAAGATGCTGGATACTAATGCACCTTCGGTTAAGTATACTGTACAAATAAATTCCTTCCTACATTAGGTCAGTGCACCGTCAATTCCAACTGCTTCAGTATTCTCCCCAATCTGTTCCTGGCAAGCAGCAGCACATGTACAACTCCTGTCTCCCCATGATTTCCAATAAAAACATTTCAATTTGTCCATAAGGAATATTTGGTATGAAGGAAGCTCCATTAAAAAACAAGACAAATTCAAATTGTATCTTTTTTCCACAGCAAAAAATAAAAATAAAAATGCCACAAAGACCAAAGAATATCACATCAAATTATCTATAGCTAGGTGGCATTTTCAGTTAGACAACTTGGTTTATTAGAATTCTTCTAGTCTCTTAAAAGATTTCTTTCCTCAACAAAAACGTTCACTCTTAAAATCTGGGAGAATCAAGCACCCATAAGAACAGACACCTGGTCCATTTTTTAAAAGGATTCTTAGAAGTCTGAAGAACTTCTGCCTAGCATCTAAAGTCACCAAGAATGGACTATCTACACGTAACAGTATATGTGGGCTAGGCTTGCTCACTCTCATGGCACCAGTACTGTTAATTCACAAGCTCCAATCTCTGAAGACATATAGGCTACAAAAAAAATGAGGATGCAGCGGTTCCCCTTCAGCTATACAGATAAAAAGCAAGTCTCACATTTATAATATAATTTAAAATACAATGTCCTAACAATTCCCAAATCACAATTTCACTGTTTTCAGGATCCTCTAGCTCCATGGCTTTTCCCAGAACTATTCTCACATATGGTCTGGGCTTTCACAGGTAGGATGTACAGCACATACCCCTTCCCATCTGAGACCCTGAGACTGCTCTCACTTGAACACTTTCCCAAAGGCCCAACTTGGAAAAAGACACACCCAATTCCATACAGCAGAAGCCAGCTTTGCTCTCCAAACCTTCTTCCTCAACCCCACCTTGGTTCTGATCAAAAGAAAAGGGGGTTAAAAGGAAGTTTTTATAATGGAGTCCAAAATCAGGCCATTGGCTGCACTTGCCCAACTTGAATTTAGAAGGCTACAACTCAATGACAGCATAAAGAAAGGGGTTAAATATCATGTCAAATACATGCATCTTCCTTTATGTTCTAAAGGCCACACCGTAGTCTCTCTAGTAGACTGTTGGGAAGTGAAAAATGGAGAGGGATAGGGAGGGAAAAAGAGAAAACATGATACTTAAACACACACACTCTTAAAAACATACATACCCACACTTGCATACACACTTACAGGTCTCAACACTTCAAGTGGCCAAAGTCTATCTCAGAGATCAAGGCCAAAAAAAGCCTACCCTCCCGACCCCCTTCACACCCTCCACCCTCCAATCCCACCCCCAGGATTCATTGCTATGTATTTCATACACACAGCAAAATCCCTATCCCTTTCCCAATTATATATAAAAAAAAGAAAAACTAAACAGATAACTTACTTTCTTTAAATTATTTTTTAAAGTCTCTTAAAAGATTTTGACGTTTAAATACTTCCTCTCTTCTGACATATTAAACACCAAAAAGATCCACAACTGTCTGATATAACAAACCCTCCATATTTCAGTCCTGGCAAGAAGAGGGAAGATATCAACTCTAATTTACCTAATTAAGAGGTGGAGAGGCCAAGAATAGAGAAAGTATTATTTTTCTTTCACAGCTTCAACATCTTCTCACTTTTCTAATACCAATAAAAACTATAAAATAGTTACATTTCTGAGGCAGCAGTTACAATAACCAAGGCCCTCTACCATCCTCCCACTTATGTCTCAATATTAATTTATTCCCTAGTCCAAGAAGGGAGACATATTTCATTAGGGAAGTAATTTTCTTAGTTCAGAATCAGTAGTTTAAAAAAAAACCAAAAAAACCAAAAACAAAAAAATGCGTTTTTAGTTTTTCTTCTCTTTTTTTTCTTTTTCATTTAGGAAGGGGTGGAAGTGGTGGAGGAGGTTCTGAAGGTAGAGGTGGTAGTCGGGGTTTGTCCGTATTGCCAGATCTGGAGGACATTCCACCAGCCCGTGGATTTAGATATTCACCGTAAGAATGAACAAATTCAAATGCAGGTGGCGGAGTGGGCTGAACACCCTGGGCACTGAGAAGGGAATGAAGCATATTCACAGTATCTTGATAGTCTATTGTCTGGGTTGTATTGTGACCATTGGCCCCAGCAGGGCCCTTATCCAGTTTCATATGAGGAACTCGAGTTTTACAGCTAGGCTGTGAAAAATGAAGGCCACTTGTGTCTGAGCTATGCCCAGGCAACTGGGCCATTGCAGGAAGAGGAGGGAAGGAGAAATTTATGGAAGAGGATTTAGTACTCTTGGCAATCTTTGCCGGATGATCAAGCACTGCTCCTCCAATCTCTTCAGGGGGACCCCTTTTACGAGCAGAACTGGAAGAGGAGAAAGAACTAGACAAACTATAGGCTTTGTGTCCTAGGGAGCTTGCCTGGCTACTATGTTTTGGATCACCTGGCCGTTTGTTCCCAGTACCAGCTGGAAGCTGTGAGTGAGAGTGCTTGTGTGAGTGGTGATTATGATGATGATGATGATTAGATGGATGAGTCTTGTGCTTTTCTTTGTGCTCTCTGCTTTTTGTGATACTATCATCCACAGAATTGTGCTTGTCAGATGCTGCGTGGACTTTAATGCGCATTTTTATCTCCTCAGGTTTCAAAGAGGCAGCTTTATCTCCACTTGCCACTGGAATTCTCATTTTGAGAGCTGTTTTGTCAGCCTTTTCCAAAAAAGGCCGCTCAGGATTTTCTGAGCCCTCTATGGGCATTTTCAGAATGACTGAAGAATGGCTATCATGTTGAGACAGGAGATTCTGGGCAGCATATGCATACTGTGACTTCACATTGGCCTCCATGTTCTCCAGTTGCCTCTTCTGGGCAGCCAACTCTTCTGCATGCTTTGCACGGTATTCTTTCAGTGATACTTTAGCTGATGGCACGCTCTTACTGTTCTGCTTCTGAGAAATAAATGCATTTGAACTATCCTGTTGCAAGGAATGATCAGCTCCTGTAAGTGCTACATTCTCACTAGTCCGATGACCCTGAGCAGGTTCCAGTTTAAAAGGTTGGGAGGACAGCCAACGCTCGCCCTGCAATATATCCACATTGCTTATGTTGCTGGATGACTCTTCAGTGGCTGGAAGGGAAGGCACTGAACTTGTGGTAGAAGAAGTTGACATGCTCATTAAACCGGCAATAGTTGTGTCTGAAGAGCTTTGGGAAATCATATTGAGGATTGTCTGCTCGGAAGTGTTTGCCTCTGCTCCTCGGTCTGCTGCCTTTGTTTTCGTGGCAGCCGGGCATGCCTAGAATGAAGCAAATGATATCTCTTCACTTCAGGTAATTTATTATATGGAAAAACCACTGAAATGAATAGACTGTGCTTGCTTTGACATTGAATCTTTTCGTAACCCATAACCAAGAGACTACTGTAACATGAGATTGATAATTACCATCAGGAGACATAAGATTTTAAAAACCTTCAATCAAGAGTCATGCAAACAGGATCTCAAAGAGATATCTGAACTCCCATGTTCATTGAAGCATTATTCACAATAACTAAGACATAAAAGCAACCCAAGTTTCTATCTATGAATGGATTTTAAAAATGTGATATATGAACTATTATTTAGTACTTAAAAAAGAGGAGAAGATTTTGGGAAGATTACAGAGTAGAAGCACCAGTAATCTATCTCCCCACCAAACATCTGCACTGGCAGAATCTGTCTGATGGTAACTATTTTGGAACTCTAGAGTCTTTTGAAGGCTTGCAACTTCCATGGTAAGCCTGGAATAGAAATTGGGGTTAATTTCCATCAATTTCATTTCTCAGCACAGTAGAAACCAGCCATTGCCGACCTCCAGCCAGCAGCTGTGTATCCATTTCTGGTGTAGTTTCACAAACCTTGGGAAGTTTGGGTTAGCAAAAATGATTCCATCCTTCAAATACTGGACATCTGTGCTATGATCAATGAATGCTGCTTCAGATCACAGAAGCACAAGCCAAGAAACAGGCAGTCATTGTTGTTGCACTTCCCTCCATTGTTTCAAGTCCCTCCTCCCGCCTCTGGCTGAAACAACTTCCAGGGGATTTAAAAGACCACCATTCCCCCCTATCACTTTTTTGTTTTTCCCCCTTATAGGAGCCAGACATTAAAGAATAGCACATTCAAAAACAACTCCATATACAAGGAAAATTAGAAAATGACCATCTATATCCAGGGAAAGGCTCTGAATGTGGTGGCAGGGGGGGCCAATCAGGGGTCAGTGGCTGGGGGAGGGGCCATGAGAGGTTGGCTGGTCAGCCCCACTCCCGATTGGTGCAGGGGCAAGCGATCAGGGGCAGAGCTGGCTGGGGGGAGGGGCCGCGGGCAATCAGGGTGGTGGTGGCTCACTGGGGGCAGGATCGGCCAGGGGAAGGGATCGCAGGCAGTTGGCTCGCTGGCCCTGCCCCTGATCAGGGTTGGAGGGCTAATCTGGTGTGGGGTCAGGTGGGGGGAGGGACTGCAGGAGGTTGGCCAGCTGGCCCCACCCCCCAATCAGGCCAGTTTGCCAGCCGCAGTGGGTTTCATAGCAACTGGTTGTTCTGGTCATTATGGTGTTCTGATTGCTGGCTTTTTATATATTTAGATTTAAAAATGACCTACATGCTCTCCAGCACTTAAAAAACATTTTTTAAAAATATATATATTTTATTGATGTTTTACAGAGAGGAAGGGAGAGGGATAGAAAGTTAGAAACATATTATAGATGAGAAAGGGACATCGATCAGCTGCCTCTTGCACACTTCCCACTGGGAATGTGCCCGCAACCATGGCACATGCCCTTGACCGGAATCGAACCCAGGACCTCTCAGTCCGCAGGCCAAAGCTCTATCCACTGAGCCAAACCTGTCCTGGCTTAAAAAACATTTTAATAACGTACTAACGTCTGTAACCTGAAGTCAAAACTTCTTGGTAAGGGTAATGCCTTACGCAGTGGTCGGCAAACTCATTAGTCAACAGAGAGGCAAACCACGCTCGTGAGCTGCAGTTTGCCAACCAGTGCCCTAGGCAAACTCATTTTCTGCAACTTATTCAACTCAAAAGAAAATTAAGCTTATCAGTCTGGATTTCTGAGAAATGCAGGTAATATTTTGCTTTTGTTTTTTGTTTGTTTGTGTGTGTGTTTGTGTTTTAAGTATTTTTATTGAATTTGAGAGGAAGAGGAAGAGAGAAAGAAAAACACCTCTGCTGCTTCCTGCACATCCTCTACCAGAAATCGAACTGGCAACCTGGGTATCTGCTGACTCAGAATCAAACCAATAACCTTTGGGTATACGGGACAAGACCAACCGAGTCACACCAGCCAGGTCAGGAATGTGTTCCATTTGTTTTTTAAATTTGTTTTTGTTGATTTCAGAGAGAGGAAGGGAAAGGGAGAAAAAGATAGAACATCAATGAGAAAGAATCACTGATCAGCTGCCTCCTGCATGCCCCATACTGGGGATCGAGCCTGAAACCCGGACATGTGCACTGCCCAGGAATCAAACCGTGACCTCCTGGTTCATAGGTCAATGCTCAACCACTGAGTCATGCTGGCTAGACTCAGGAATGTTTTTAAATAAACTTTCTGACACTGGATAAAAAGAGGTATTATTTCATTATTCATAAGACTTTGAAAAATATTTGAAAGACAACATAAAAACAAAGTTCTAAAATCCATTGCAAAAGTAGGTAAAATAAAAACAAAGTTATGGTATCAGCTCTAACCTTGTAGAGCTCTATCAGAAGTCAACATTCTATGACTCAGAGAAGCCATGTTTCTCCCCTTAACAGTCTCCACACAGAAGATACTCAACCAATGTTGCTTACCAAATGACTGTATCACAAGAGTTGTAAAACAAAAGAAATTCTACTATCACCAACCGTCATTACCTCTGGGCCAGTACCCCAAGATATGAAGTTGGAGTTATGATAGCTGCATAACTACAAAAAGGGAAATTCCAAACCTAGGGTATATATCCACTTCTGGTGCAGTCAAAAGAAGAAAATAGTTTGTCCTGTTCCATAAGCTGACAGCAATAATTCTTACCCTCCAATTCCGAATTCGTTTGAGCCTGTTGGGGGTTTTCTCCAGAATCTGTAGAAATTCATGTGTCAGTTCTACAAATGAAATAGAGCATTTAAGAAAAACTCACAGAGAGACAAAGTAATGAAACAAGATTTACCTCAACTAACTATTTTCATCTGAATCAAGTCACCTTTGGCCAAATATGTGACAGATCAAGATGAAGTGCTTTTCAAGGACCCTTACTCTAAAACTTACCATCTAAAAGTTCCAAGGTCACAGTGGCGTCAACATACTCCCACCAGTGCTTCCCATCAGTTGAGACTGGGATCTCCCAGTTGGACCACTTGCAAGCCAGATGAATGCAGACACAGGCCACTACAGGAGGTGTGTACTGCAGGCTAAATGTGGTCAAATGCAGGCTGACATCAGAGGGAAGGAAACAAGAGAGTATCATGAGCTCTCAATTCTGAACCCAAAGTTAAAACTCTCCATTATTGAAAAAAAAGTAAAAAACAAAAAAACAAAAAAAAAACCACCACTGGCAAGCAAGTAGGGTAAGAAATATCCAGTGCTCTGATTCAGCACTAAACATTATTTTCCATTAACCCACCTGCTCAGTTAACATTTATAAATTTTCTGACTACACATCATTCAATTCACATAACTGATGGACTAAAAACAAAAATAAAAATCTAAAACAAACTGTGTACTAAATTTTTTAAAACAAGCATCAATTATTCTGAAAATAAGCTCAGAACTTAAGGAAAATGATAAGATTTTTGATATGTATAATTTCTAAATCAAATACCTAAGAAAATATCCTAAAAATTATCTTGTCTTTTGCCAATCGTACGTCAGGTCTATTTAAAAGAAAAATAGACAATCAGTCTCTCAAGTGTGAATATGCTCAACTGCTGCTTTATTTTTAAAATTTCTCTTATCAGTCTATTAAAATGAACTTCTTAGCCCTGACAGTCATTAGGAATATCTTTGGTTTCCATGAACAACCAATAGATTGGAGATAAGAATGAGTAAGTCATTTGATAATACAAGTTATGTATTAATTTTTTCTTTAAAAAGAAAAAGTATTAAAATTCTTTACACATATATATGACTATTTATCTGGGAGTATGAGAAAAAACAAAGTCTTTTAAAATCCTTCAACTCATATTTTCAATCACTATCAATGAATTCCAAGTTTACCAACTTTCAGAACTATGCTCTTGGATATTTTAAAGCTAAGTAACATGCAGAATTAAAAATGTTATCAATTAGTAGTATACAATTACATCAACTTAGCAAATTATTCTAGTTTACTAAGTGCCAGACCTGCCATCTTTCCTTATGCCCTTCAAAAAAGTGACAATCCCAACTCAAGTAAAGTCCTATCCCAAAAATATAAAGGAAAATATTAAAATATAAACCTGTTGGTTGCCATGAAGTAAGAAGTCTGTGCTAAGTCCTTGCTTGCTAAAAAAAAAAAAAAAAAAAAAAAAAAGTGAGGGGGGAAGGAAAAAATTATTAGTTCCATTTATTCTCAACAATAAATTAGTAAGCATTTAATATTTGCAAGGTAAATAATATAATGGTAAATGAAGTTGACATGGTCCCTGTACACCTGAAGTTTACATTCTATCAAAAACAGATTAGCAATTTTTAATTATAAATAACTGGATTGCTTCCAGACCTAAGAATTCAAGCTTTATCCTTTACACTAAGTATCTGACACTTGTTTAAAATGCAATCTCTGGACATCCTCCTTAGAGTTTTGACCAGTATGTTTGAAGAAGGACACAAACATTTTTAACAAGTACTCAGATTCTGATGCGATGGTTCACTGAGAAATACTAAATAAACTAGAGGATGAACTAATGTGGAGGCAAGATCAGAATTTAAAAGACCTTGATATGTTTTGGGAAAATGATTTGTGCTTTAAAATAATAAGTTTAAATTAAGTAACCTGTGATTTAATCCTAAAATAATCAAATAACAAGTTATTTAATATATTACCAAAAGAAAGTTCCTTCTTCCAAAACAAAAAAAACTGCTCTGAATGACAAAACAAATTTTAATATTCCTTAGATTAAATATTAGCATATATCCATCTCTAAGCCTATCCTTGCTCAACACAAGCCATTTAATGCTTTCAAAATATCAAAAACTCAGGGGAAATTTTTGGTATTTTCAGATAAAACACACATAAGCAAAATTCAAAATAAGCTAATTATCAGTTTGACCTACACAAAAGGTACTGAAGTGCACAATGATACGTTGGTATTCCTGAAACTATTTAAACTGAGTAAGAGAAACTAGGTTCCATGCAATTATCGATATTCAAGTTAAAAAGGACTGTCAATCAAGGAAATAATTTCAAATAACTTCTAAATAACCCTCTGGGTGGTCTTAAAGAATGCATAGGACAATCAATCGTACAATCAAATTAAGAGAGCCTACTCCCAAAATATCCTTAAAATTGCTATTAGTTATGATTTGATGACTTTTCAAAATCTACCCCCAGCTTTCACAACTAACCCTCAAGAGACTGACTCTTTAAATGGATATCACCTAAACACATTAATTAGCAGCTGTGTTACGTATTTGTCTACAGTAATTTGAGCCTCTAAATGGTAAAACAATTTTAGAGCACTGTCTCAAGCTGGGATTCCTTACCTCGAACAAGTTGAGTGCACTTTACCACATGTGTATGTGGGTGATCAATTGTTAGTTCAAAGCCTAAAAAAAGGTAACGCATTAAAAACAAAACTAAAGACATTTTGTACATCTGTTATCTGAGTCATCATTTAAGGCCTCCCTTGTTTTCCTTCCCAAATTACTGTTCAGAGGCTAATCCCACAGAACAGGCAGCACACTCCTCTCTAAGAAACATTGTCTCCAATGCTGCTTATAATATTTAGAGCTAGAAGATACCATTAAGATAGTAAAACTAATGCAATCTCAAGACCCTTGAAAACCAATAACCTCTAAACATAAAACACATTTTAGGTACAACAGAATGTAATAATATATGGTTGAAAGATATGGTTGAAAGGAGCAGTTTTAATCAAGTGTTGACATTTTAAAACCTATTCTCTTACCTCAATTTTGTTCCTTTTCATCATTTTAATTAAAAAAAATATATATGTATTTTATTGATTTTTTCTACAGAGAAGAAGGGAGATAGATAGTTAGAAATGTCGATGAGAGAAACATCAACCAGCTGCCTCTTGCACACCCCCTACTGGTGATGTGCCCGCAACCAATGTACATGCCCTTGACCGGAATTGAACCTGGGACCTTTCAGTCCGCAGACCGATGCTCTACCACTGAGCCAAACCGGCTTCGGCCATCATTTTAATTTTAATAGGTACTAATCATTTCATCCAACCCTAATGATCTTTATTAAAACTACTTGAGAAGGATCAGTGTTGTCCATAAAAATTTTCTGAGTTGATGAGACAAAAAAAATTTTAGATCAAGAAATTCTATTGAGAAATTTACATGATGTAAATTATTCTATGCAAGTACATATACATTTTTGGGAAGTGTGTGTGTGTGGGTGTATGTGTGGGGGGGGTGTGTGTGTGTGGTGTGGTAAGCAATAAAATCTTTATTTTCCATATTTGCTTATAAACTTTTTAAGGCAATATCTCTGATGAAAATAATAATACTAGATTAATAACAAAGTATCACCAGGATTTCCAATGAACTGCTATACAGCAGATCCTCAAGTAACTTTGTTTTGTTCAATGTCATCTATCTATATATATAAAAGCCAAGCAATCAGAACGATGGAATGACTGGATGACTAGAACCAGATCTCTATGACATGCACTGCAACAGCCAACTGGCCCGATGGGGCCCCAATCAGCACCCTCAACTGGCAGCAGCTCCTCCCGCCCCTGCTGGCACCCATTGGGACAAGACAGCCAAATCCCATCCATGCACAAATTCATGCCCTGGGACTCTAGTTTCATTATAATGTTGATGAGAAAAAGAAAAAAAATTGATTCCCAGCTGGGGCCACTGTCTATGTAGAGTTTGCACATCCTCCCCATGTCTGCATGGGTTTTCTCCAGGTAATCCAGTTCCCTCCTAAAGCCCAAAGATGTGCACATTATGTGAATTGGTGTGTCTAAACTATCTCAGTCTGAGTAAGTGTGAGCACGCCCAGCATGGAAGGCACCTTGTCAGGGTGTTCCTGCCTTGTGCTTTGAGCTGTCGGAATAGTTTTTCAGCCACCCTCAACTCTTGAGCTAAAATACTTGGATTGAAAAATAATTATCTTACTTGGCTTTTTTAATTAATCTTTCTTAAATGTATGCAGAGCTCACATTTATTTCAATGTGTAATATTAGAAGTATTTGGATCTTTATTTACAAGTTTGGTGATGTTTTTGTGACCAGAACTATGCAATATGAACTTGACTTTTATTTATATCAATTAGCCTATGATAAAATTAGTTTCATAATATATAGTTTCACTAAAGCCAGTTTCTAAGAACCTATTGATGAAGTGAGGACTTAATGTAGCTTGAATTCTTCCACCTACACTCTGCCATTCTAAACTCTGATTTCCAATTTAAAAACAAATGTTGTTATCTAAATATGATAGACTATAAAAATCCATGGAAGGAAAAGAGTCCTTTAAATAGTTGCTGCCATTAGTTATCAAAAAATTAAAAACCGCCAAACCTTAAAAAGCAAATCATGAATCCCAGAATGAGGAGGGGAAAAGGACTGCTAACTGCTATTTCAGAGGTCAGTGTGTCTTTATCATTTCTTCTATATAGGTAAAACTGGGCTCAATAACCTCTAAATTTGCAAAACCTTTCCAAAAATTTGTCCTCCTGTTTCCTATTTTGCAAAAGTTAAAAACATATCATATTATATGAATGTTTCTTTAATGTGTTAAAGGGAAATAAACTTACCTAAAGTCTGCAGAATTATGCTTTCTAATATCACCAGATCTTGAACTTGTTGCAGGTAAGCCTGCAGGTGAGAAGACACGTAAGGTACAATATAGTAGCATAAAGTATAAACAATTCTTTTTTTTCTTTAAATATATTTTATTGATTTTTTACAGAGAGGCAGGGAGAGGGACTGAGAGTTAGAAACATAGATGACAGAGGAACATCGATCAGCTGCCTCTTGCACACCTCCTACTGGGGATGTGCCTGCAACCAAGGTATAACATATGCCCTTACCCAGAATCGAATACGAGACCCTGGAGTCCGCAGGCCGATGCTCTATCCACTGAGCCAAACCAGTTAGGGCTAAAGTATAAACAATATTAACACCCCTCCCAGAGAAAAAAACCCACAGAAGACAGGGGTGGAGTTATGAAATAGAGTAAGAATTGAAATTAATCTTTATCCCTATTCAGTACAGATTCTCCTTTTAAAAGAAAACAAAAAAAGGAGTATACTGAGAGAAAACACTTTATTCATAAATAGCTACAGAAAAAGCACATGAGATTTGGTTCATTTTCAGACTGACATTTTAGGTTTTATAGATCATTTGATATAACTTCAAGAAAATTAAAAATACAGCTTCTTCAACATCATCAGAATACATTTGCAGAGCCTTCTTATAGGCCAGCGTTTTTCAACCGCTGTTCCGTGGCACACTAGTGTGCCGCGAGATGTTGCCTGGTGTGCCGTAGGTGCAGACAAGAATTTTATAATTTTTCACTATTTTGTTTACTTAATATTTCATAATAAAGTAATTATAAAATACTTTCTTTGTGTTTATTTGATTCCTATTCAAGAGAATTACTTTATATATAGTCAATATAGGCACAGAGTTAAATTTTTTAACATTTTCTAATGGTGGTGTGCCTTGTGATTTTTTTTCATGAAACAAGTGTGCCTTTGCCCAAAAAAGGTTGAAAAACACTGTTATAGGCAATGTCAAACATTTGACTCCTGTTAAAACTTCCCCTTTGGGCCGAAACCGGTTTGGCTCAGTGGATAGAGCGCCAGCCTATGGACTGAAAGGTCCCAGGTTCAATTCCGGTCAAGGGCATGTACCTTGGTTGCAGGCACATCCCCAGTAGGGAGTGTGCAAGAGCAGCTGATCGATGATTCTCTCTCATCGATGTTTCTAATTCTCTATCCCTCTCTCTTACTCTCTGTAAAAAAATAAATATATTTAAAAAAAAAAAAAAAAAAAAAAAACTTCCCCTTTGGGGTAATGCTAGATTTCTAAAACTTCATAGGAGAGTTCAAAGAAGAGGGAGCAAACAATAATGGAAGCAACCTCACTAATAATGTTTTAATATTGATTATATGCTAAAATAACACTTATGATTAAATAATTATACAAAATATATTGAAATTGTTTTTCAACTAGTGGTAGTGGGGGAGGGGGTGTCCCTCAGCATGGCCTGCATCCTCTCCAATCTGGGACCCTTTGGGGGATGTCTGATTGCTGGTTTAGGCCCAATCCCACAGGCACTTGGACATCCCTCTCACAATTCGGGACTACTGGCTCCTAACTGCTCACCTGTCTGCCTGTCTAATTGCCCCTAACCACTCTACCTGTTGGCCTGCTTGCCCCCAACTGCCCCTCTCCCCACTGCTGGCCTGCTCACCCTCAAGTGCACCCCATCCCACTGGCCTGATCAATCTCAACTGCCCTGCCCTCCTGGCCCAATCACCCATAACCACCTCTGCCTCAGTCCAGCCACCATGGTTTTGTCCTGAAAGACATCAAAAAGGTCTCCCAGAAGGTCTCCTGGTCTAATTAGCATATTACCCTTTTATTAGTATAGCAGAGGCCTGGTGCATGGGTAGGGGCTTGCTGGTCTGCCCTGAAGGGGGTCCCAGATAAGGGTGGGGGTCCCCTTGGGGGGTGGGCCAGCCTGAGCGAAGGGCCTGGGGTGGTTTGAAAGCTGGCCAAGCCCCAGGCTTGGTCCAGAAGGTCTCCCAGTCTAATTAGCATATTACTTTTTTATTAGTACAGTGGTGCCTCACACAACGAACTTAATTCGTTCCAGGAGCAAGTTTGTTATGCAAAAAGTTCGTTATGTGAAACGCGTTTTCCCATAACAATACATGTTAAAAAAAATAATTCGTTCTGTAGCATAAAATATGCTAAGATGACATAAAAAAGATAAATTTTTTGTTATTATTTTTACTTAGATACATCTAAAAACATAATTTTTTTTAAAAAAAACACACATTTTTTTAATTTTAAGACAGACTAAGTAGAGTCTACCGAATCTTGCACATCTTCATCCATTTTCTGCTTTTTGGCCGATGGTTTCATGAAAAACCTGTCCAAAGTCGTTTGTTTTTCTCTTTTCTCCAACATCTGCCGGAAATAACAGACAAGAGTATCGGAGTAAAGATCGTTGATCCTGTTTGCTTCAGCTGAATCCGGATAGTGGGCATTGGTAAACTCCTGAACTGCTTTCCATTTGACCAGGATGTTCTTGATGTCAGCAGTTGGGATTGGTTGTTTGATTGTTGCTCCTCGTTATCAGATGACGCTTCCCTTTGAGCATTGTCCTGTTGCTAGACCAGAAGTGCTTGGAGCTCTTCAGTTGTCAGCTCTTCTTCGTGTTCCTCAATAAGCTCCTCTACATCCTCTTCCTCTACCTCTAATTCCAACCTTTGGACCACTGTGATGATGTCCTTCACCACTTCTGTGTCATCAACTACTGCTTCTTCCTGGGTCCACGAAGGCACAAGCATCTTCCAAGCAGAAATGAGGGTCCTTTGTGACACTTCTTCCCAGGCCTTCTGTATAAGTTGTATTGCCATAAGGACATCAAATTTCTCCTTCCAAAACTTTCGGACAGTCATATTGTCTTCACCAAACTCGCATTCTTCAAACACCTTATTAAAGAGGGCTCTAGTGTAGAGTTTTTTAAAGTTCGCAATAACTTGCTGATCCATTGGCTGAAGAATGGATGTGTTGTTTGGTGGCAAATACTGCACCTTGATAAAAGGGTAATTTTCCTGCAATATTTCCTCTAGGTCTTTTGGGTGAGAAGGGACATTGTCAAGTATCAGAAGGGCTTTGAGCGGCAGTTCTTTTTCCAGCAAGAATTTCTTCACGGCAGGAGCAAAGGTTTCCAGAATCCATTCGTTGAAGATAGTAACTTGGGTCACCCAGGCTTTTTGATTGGACTTCCAATGGACGGGCAGTTTGGACTTAATAACGTTATTTTTCTTGAAAATTCTTGGATTTTCAGAGTGATAAACCAATAGAGGTTTGATCTTGAGGTCTCCGCTGGCATTAGACGAAAACATAAGGGTAAGTCTGTCCTTCATGGCTTTGTGTCCTGGCAATTTCTTCTCCTCTTTTGTAATGAAGGTTCTGCTCGGCATTCTTTTCCAGAAAAGACCCGTTTCATCGGCATTGAACACTTGTTGTGAGCAGTATCCTTCATCCTTAATACATTTTTGAAAGTTAATAGAGAACTTTTCTGCTTCTTTCTTGTCAGCACTGCCAGCCTCACCATGCATAGTAACGCTGTGGATTCCACACCTTTTCTTAAATCTAAAAAACCAGCCCCTGCTGGCTTTGAATTCTTCTTCATTATCTTGATTGCTGCTACTTCCAGGGACGTTTTTCTTTAGATCGTCATAAATTCTCTTGGCTTTGTGACAGATAATATCTTGGGTTGTTACTCACCTTTCACCTGCCTGTCCTTAATCCAAATCGCTAATAGCCTCTCCATTTCCTCGTGGATTGAAGACCTATGTTTTTCATGAAATAGTTTTGATACTTCTTTGGCTACCTTGGCTGATTTGATTGCATCCTTATTTGTCAAAATGGTGAAAATGGTGGTCTTGCTGAGGCCAAACTCTTTGACGAGGTCACACTGTTTTACCCCACATTCACTCCTTCTAATTATTTCCTGTTTCATTTCAACAGAAATCACTTTCCTGCTTTTTTTAGAAGCCATGATATAAAAAAAATATTGAGTTTAACTTAAAAGGACTGCCGTGATACGTGCGTGATTTAATTCGTAATGAAGAACGATTGCTGCGATACGTGCTTAAGTTAAGCGCAGTGACTAATGACTGCCTGCAGTGCCTGCGCGGAAGGATGCAATACATCGGCAGCGATCGTGGAAGCTCGGGCGAAGCAGTCGTGGAAGCTCGGGCAAAGCGGTCGTGGAAGCTCGGGCGACTTCGTTGTGTGAAACGAAGTTCGTTGTATGAATCATGAAATGAAGTTCGTTGTGTGCAGCGTTCGCTGTGCGAGGCGTTCTTTATGCGAGGCACCACTGTATAGTTTAAAAGTTTTAAATGAAGTTAAAATATTTTAGCTCTCTTCCGACATGCTGTCGGCGTGAGTGGGACAGAGCCCATGCTCTCATGGAAGAGGCTCTTTTGTTTATTGCATCGGACTCGGCTCTCTGGTGGTCCTTGGGGATCACCAAGTCTGGGCATAACATTTGGGGGCTCATCCGGGCACCCCAAGACCCTGAGGGACTCTGATCAGGAGAGCCTGACTGGCCGCGGTAAGTGTGTGTATCTGTGCTTGTGTTAGCACTCTGGAGGAATGAGGAAACCCCTCGTGTCGGTAGTGCCCAAAGAGGTCTAGATGGACGCATTGCTGGAAGACCATGGGCCGGAGGATTCAGATGTTCCGACCTCCCAGGAGAGCCCCTCACAGGCAGGAGAGACGTGGAATCCTCTCCTAGAGGGCCCCTCACATGTGGGAGAGGGATGGAAACCTCTCCCGGGATGAGGTGAACAGCGTGAGCGGATGTCTCAGAGGCAGGAGAGAAGTGGACCTCTCCCAGGATGAGGCGAGTTGCATGAGCTGACGTCTCACAGGCAGGAGATGTGGAATCCTCTCCCAGTTTTAAGTTGAAATGTTGATGTTGGGCACCCTCTTGTTGGTTGTGATTTTCTGTGTTGTGGAGGTTCAAAAGGACCAATGGCAGAGTTGTTGTTTTAGTGAGTGGCCAGCTTTCAATGTTGGAGGGCCACTAGTTGGCATGAGGCAGTCGTTTGGTTTTGCTTCCACAGTTGGAAGACTGTTCTCAGGAGCCCTCTGTCTGATTCTTGTTCTTTGTTTGTATGTTTGTTTCAGTTTGCTCTGGTTTGTAAATTTGCTACTCTCTCCCCTCAGAGCAGGCAGGAGGTGGGGGAGGGGAAACACGTGGCAAAGCCACTCCCCAAGAAAGTTTTTATGCATCGGGGATTTCTGTGCTCATGTAAAGCAAAAAGGCCAGTTCAAAACAAGTGTGCATAGTTTTGGGCTGTGCTTAAACTCTTTTCTGTGTACAGAATGAGCTTCAAAGATGGTGGAGATGAACTGGGAGATAAATTAAAGCTGGTTTCCCAAGGCATTTTAAGCAGCTTTTGAAATTTCCCCCCTGAGGCAAGTAACCAGTAGGAAGTAAATAACTGTTTATTTAAGTGTTGATCTAAGTATGCCTTGCATGATTTTTTTTAAATTGATTTTTTACAGAGAGGTAGGGAGAGAGATAGAGAGCTAGAAACATCGATGAGAGAGAAACATCGACCAGCTGCCTCTTGCACACCCTCTACTGGGGATGTGCCCGCAACCAATGTACATGCCCTTGACCGGAATCGAACCCGGGACCTTTCAGTCCACAGACCGATGCTCTACCGCTGAGCCAAACCGGTTTCTTCTGAGAAACACTGAAGTGAGAGTGCAACACTGACCAGCCACCTCCACTTTCATCCCCACAATGGGGGATCAGACCTGCAATCTGACATGTGCTAGGACCAAGAATCGAACCTGCAACCCTTCAGTGCATGGGATGTCCAAACAACTGAGCCACACCAGCCAGGGCTTTCTGTTTTATTTTGTTAAAATAAAATTGTCTTTTTTTTTTGTCAATTCTATAGACAAATGACATTTAGTAATTAGTCTCAAACCTAAATGAAAGTTCAGAGCAATAACTCTTTTCAATAGGAACTACTGGTGTAGCCCAAAGAGAAAATGAAGGAAGTCAAATTCACCTAATTAGGGACTATTGTCAACACACACAAAATAAATATCCCCCCTCCAAAATCCCTTTTTCCAATGAGAACACAAAATTCTATTTTATCTATTTGATAAATGATGACTCATGTATCCACTGTAAGGGACTTAAATAATTTAGCAAAAGTAATCCATAATTTTTCTGCAAGCACTTACAAATGTCAGACCTCTCCAATTTTCACAACTCACCACACCCTAGTCACTGACTTATAAAGCCAAGAGAGTTTTCCCTTTATTAAGAAAAGCAAGGAAGGATGGGAGAGAGAAAAAAAGCTGTACATATATGCATAGGATAAAAGTTTAAAAGAATATGCCTTGACTGGGTGGGTCAGCTGGTTGGAGCATCATCCCATACCAAAAGGTTTGATTCCTAGTCAGCACACATACCTAGTTGAGGGGGAATAGGGGAGGCAACCAATCAATATTTCTCTCTCACACTGATGTTTGTTTCTCTCCGCCTCCTTCTGCTCCGTCCCCCACACACAAAAATCTAAAAGAATATAGTATACCGAACTGTAACCAGCAGTCTCTTCCTAGGAGGAGGAGAGGAGATGCTTTAACTTTCACTTTAAATGATTGTTTCGATTCTCTTATAATGAACATATAAAACTTTTGTAGTTTCTTAGAAAGTTCTCTTAGAAACAGCAAATGATTAAAATACACACACACACACACACACACACACACACACACACACACGTATATAATGAAATATTACATTTAAAGCAAGTAGAAAATTGTCCTAGCCGGTTTGGCTTACTGAATACTGTTGACCTGCAGACTGAAGGGTCCTGGGTTGGATTCTGGTCAAGAGCTTGTACTTCAGTTGCAGACTCCTCCCCAGCCCAGACCATGGTCAGAGTGCACAGGAGGGAACCAATCAATATCTCTTTCTCACATCAATATCTCTCTCTCTCTGTCTTTCCCCCTTCCACTCTCTCTAAAAAATCAATGGAAAAATATCCACAGTGAGGATTAAAGCAAGTGGAAAATTTAAAAAATGGAAAAATATTTGGGATTTAGTAAGTAAAAAACACGCAACATCTTATATAATAAAAGCCTAATATGCAAATCGACCAAATGGCAGAATGACTGGCGGAATGACCAGTCACTATGATACGCACTGACTTCCAGAGGGCAGATGCTCAATGCAGGAGCTGCCCCCAGCCTGCAGGCCCCAAATGGTGGCAGCAGCGGGGAGGGAGCGGGAAGCTGCGGCCTGTGAGCGGGGCTGTGCCAGGCCAGCCATGGTGGGTGCCAGCGGCCAACCCCTCTCCCCCAATCGCCCTGCTGGTTGCCCTACAAAATGGCCCTGATCACCAGCCAGTTATAGGAACCCTACCGGTGCAGGAATTTCCTGCACTGGGCCTCTAGTACATACATATGCAGCTACTCAGAAAAGAAGCTGGAAATAATGATGGTTAACTTATAGATCTGTGGTCCAAATTATAACTAAGTGATATATTTTCTTCTGTTTTTCTACATTTTCCAATTTTACTACAATGAATACAATTAACTTCTGCCATAAAATTTCCATGTTTTTGTTAAGGAAAAAACAAAAACTAAAAGATTCCTTTAATAGCCCCCATTAGGACTTCAATAAATCAAAGTTATAAAACTAAGTTATAATGAAATTTAAGAAAAAACATATGTGTAATTAATCCCTTACCTCACTCCTGGTATCGGGAAGTGAGTCCTGTGGATGGAGACAAGCATGTGCTACTTTGATGACGTGTTCCAATTTTTTTGGCTGCTCCTCTACTTTAGCTGCTAGAAACAAGGCCGCTGGAGCCACAGACTAGATGGAAAAAAATAAATCATATTTACCATTTGTTTATTTCTAGATCAAGGTACAGATCTAAAAATGAACTAAGTCTCAAGCCAAGTTCTTTGCTTACCTCGACTGCATCATCTCGTTTATACTTTTTCCTGTACTTAAAAGTCCTCCCCTTGCCTATCCATTAATCCATATCCACTTCTAAAAACTGATCCTGCAACAAACTCTCATTAAAAGCTACCTATTCAAGAAGCTACTAAATATAAATAGAGAGCTTTCTTTATTAAGTTTGTATTAAAACAGTGAAATGTCCAGAAAAGGTAAGTCCATACAGAAAAAAATAGATTGGTTGCCAGGAGCTGGGAGGAGAAAGGAATGAGGGACTGCTAAAGTGTGAAGAGTTTCTTTTTCTGGGGTGATGTAAATGTTCTGGAATTAGATTGTGGTGGTAATGGCAAAAGACTGAATATACTATCAATATAAAGTGAATTGTACACTTTAAGATCATTTTATTGTATGAGAATTATCTCAATTATACTTATACTAAAGGCCCGGTGCACGAATTCATGCACAAATGGGGTCCCTCAGTGATTGGGCAGGCCGGCTAGGGGGAGGGACTGGGGGAGGTTGGCCGGCTGCGGGAAGTTGGCTGTGGGAGTGCTCTTGCCATCAGGGGGCTGCTCCTGCGTTGAGCATCAGCCCCCTGGTTGTCAGTGCACATCATAGCTACTGAGCATTCATCCGGTTGAAACAGTTGCTTAGGCTTTTATATATATAAACTAGTGGCCCGGTGCACAAAACTTGTGCCCGGGGTAGTGGGGGATGTCCCTCAGGCTGGCCTGCATCCTTTCCAATCTGGGACATCCCTCTCACAATTCAGGACCACTGGCTCCTAACTGCTCACCTGCCTGCCTGATTGATCACCCCCAACCACTCTGCCTGCTGGCCTGTTCGCCCCAAACTGACCCCCTCAACCCGCGCCAGCCTGTTTTCCCCCAACTATCCCCCCCCACTGGCCTGATAGCCTTTAACCGCCTCTGCCTTGGCCCCACCACCATGGCTTTTTCCGGAAGGTCTCCCGGTCTAATTAGCATATTACCCTTTTATTAGTATAGATATGGAGGATAAATTTTTTTAAAAAAAGTAATTCAAAGCATAATAGTATATTGAACAGGTTATGGAAGGCACTTAAAGGGGGGAAATGCCTTAGCTGGATTGGTTCAGTGGTAGAGCTTCAGCCTGCATCTTGGTTACACCTCGGTCAGGGCGCATGCAGGAGGCAACCCATCGATGCTCCTCTCTGTCTTTCCCTCTCTCTTCTAAGCTCTCTAAAAGATCAATAGAAAAATATCCTTGAGTGAGGATTAATCTAAATAAGTAAATGAGGGGAATTCACAAGTAGATATCAAACACTGACACTAATACAAGAGATCAGAGCAATATGACATACATGTAGCCTGCTGATCTAGGGAACCTCAGGAAGTAGAGCATCTCTAGAATCTTAAGACTATTTCAATGAATCAAAGATGGGAATGATAAGAGCTAGAATTCACCAGGAATAAAAAATTTTATAGAGTTGAAATACCTACTTCACTATAATAAATATTTTGCATTCTAATACAAAAATCCACCATTATAATCAGGGGATACATTCCAAGACTTCCAATTGATGCCTAAAACTTAGAATAGTATGATTTTTCCTTGCATACATACCTATGATAAAGTTTAATTTATAAGTTAGGCACAATAAGATTAATAACATTAACATAATAAAACAAAATAATTATAACAATATATCAAAATAAAAGTTATTGTGAATATGGTCTGGCTCCTTTGCTTCTTCCCTCCTTCCCTCCATTTCTTTCTCTTTTATAACTGAGATGGCTACTCAGGCAAGACTGCAAAAGGTTTTATGTTACTCAAAACAATGTGCAATTTAAAACTTAGCAATTGTTGCCCTGGATGGTATTTCTGTGGTTAAGTGTCAGTCTGAGCACTGAAAGGCTTAAGGTTCAATCCCTGGCGCCAATTGAGGCATGAAGGTGAGACAAACAATTGATGTCTCTCTCTCTCACATTAATGTTCCTCCCCATCTCCCCTCCCTCCTGCCTCTCCACTTTCTCTAAAATTGAATGGGGGGAGGGGGGAGGAATCCTTGGGTAAGGATTAACAACAACAAAAAATGATCAGTTGTTTATTACAAGAATTTTCCATTTAATAATTTCAACCACAACCACTGAAAACACTGAAAGCAAAAACTTTGATGAAGGGGAAATACTGTGTATTCCTGCTGTTCTGTTAGACTTTGATATGAGACTTTTCTCCACAATTCAATTCATATCTATTTCAGTTGTATATGGAACTTTGCTACATGTACATTCCTAGAGTTTAGGGTAAGGACAGAACTAGAGGAAAATGGGGATGAACAAAGGAATGGGGTATCAGGGCATGAAGCACATTTTGAATACTAAAGTGAGTAGGTTAAGTGATACAGATAACTTAACTAAAAATTATTGACAGTATTACAGATGTCTCCCATTTCTCCCTTACTTTGGCCCCACCATCAAGCCCCCACCCCACCCCAAGTCTTCACCACACTATTGGCTGTATCCATGTGCTATGCATGTAAGTTCTTGGGTTAATCTCTTCCCATCCCTCCCACTCCCTGAGATGTGTTATTCTGCCCCATGAATCCATGCTTTTAGACCTATTTTGTTTGTCAGTTTATTTTGTTCATTGGATTCCATAGTTAAGTGACATCTCATATTTGTCTTTCTCTAACTGGCTTATTTTACTTAGCATAATAATCTTCAGGTCCATCCTTGCTTGCAAAGGGTAAGAGCCCCATCTTTTTGACAGCCATATAATATTCTGTGTAAATGTACCACAGGATTTTTACCCACTAATATACTAATAGGCTGTTTCCAGCTTTTAGATATCTTACCTAATAAAAGAGCAATATGCAAATTAACCATCACTCCACTGCGCCCACCAGTCACTCAGAGCAAGTATGCAAATTAACCCCAACCAAGATGGCTGTGGCCACAGAGAGCAGGAGGAAGGTTTGGGTTTCTCTGGCAATGGAAGAGGCAAGCTTTCCACCTGCCCTAGCCAGCCTAAGCCTCCACTCAAAGCTACAAAGTTTCAATTATAGAAAGTAAACAAATCCAAATAGAAATGGCAGCAGCCACAGTGTAAACAGAAGGCTTGGCTCCGCTCCAGGCTACAAAGTTTCAATTGTAGAAGGCAAATAAATTCCAGATACCAGAACCTCTGCTTGGGTCACCAGGGGGCATGGCCAGCCTGCAAACCACCACAGGCCCTTCACCAGGCTGCCCCATGCCCCAAGGGAACCCTCACCCTGATCCAGGACACCCTTCAGGACAAACCAGCTAGCCCTCACCCATGCACCAGGCCTCTATCCTATCTAATGAGTTAATATGCAGATTGACCATCACTCCAACACACAAGATCAAGATAGCTGCCCCATTGTGGTCAAAGATCCTGCCCCATGTGGACACAAGATGGCTAGCAGGGGAGGGTAGTTGGGAGGGACCAAACCTGCAAGGGAGGGCAGTTGGGGCTGATCAACCCTGCAGGGGAGGGCAGTTAGGGGTGACCAGGCCAGCAGAGGAGGGAAGTTGGGGGCAAACAGGCATCAGTTAAGCTGGCATGGGAGTGGTTAGAGGGTGATCAGGCTGGCAGGCAGAAGGGATTAGGGGCAATCAGGAAGGCCGGCAGGTGAGCAGTCGGGAGCCAGCAGTTGACATCCCTCGAGGGATCCCAGATTGGAGAGGGTGCAGGCTGGTCTGAGGGACACCACCCGCCTCCCCACCCCGCACCAATTTCGTGCACCAGGCCTCTAGTTGTAAATAATGCTGCTATGAATAGGGGTGCATATATTCTTTCTGACTGGTGTTTCAAGTTTTCTTAGGACATATTCCCAGAAGTGGGATCACTGGGTCAAATAGCAGTTCCATTCTTAAATTTTTGAGGAAATTCCAGTTTTCCATAGTAGCTGCACCAGTCTGCATTCCCACAAGTAGTGTACTAGAGTCCCTTTTCTCTACATCAGCGTTTTTCAACCGCTGTTCCGCGAGAGATGTTGCCTGGTGTGCCATAGGTGCAGACAAGACAAGAATTTTATAATTTTTCACTATTTTGTTTACTTAATATTTCACAATAAAGTAATTATAAAATACTTTCTTTGTGTTTATTTGATTCCTATTCAAGAGAATTACTTTATATATAGTCAATATAGGCACAGAGTTAAATTTTTTAACATTTTCTAATGGTGGTGTGCCTCGTGATTTTTTTCATGAAACAAGTGTGCCTTTGCCAAAAAAAAGGTTGAAAAACACTGCTCTACATCCTCACCAGCACTTGTTGATTATTGATGGTAGCCATTCTGGCAGCTGTGAGGTGATACCTGATTGTAGTTTTAATCTGCATCTCTCTGATTAGTGACATTGAGCATTTTCTCATAATTGGCCATCTGCATGTCCTACCTGCAGATGTGTCTATTCAGGTCCTCAGCCCATTTTTTAATTGAATTATCTTCTTGGTGTTGAGTTGTAGGAGTCCTTTGCATATTTTGAAAATTAATCCCTTACCAGATGTATCATTAGGAAACCCAATAGTGGGTTTCCTTTCCATTTTGTTGACAGTTTCTTTTGCTGTGCAGCTTATTTTGATATAGTTCCATTTGTTTTTGTTTCTCTTGCTCTAGGAGATGTATCAGCAAAAATACTGCTACATGACATGAAATTTTATTGCCTGTTTTCTAAGATTTATATGGCTTCATGACTTACATTTAAGTCTTTTATTCATTTTGAGTTTATTCTTGTGTATGGTATAAGTTGGCGATCTAGTTTCATTTTTTTGGTGTGTACCTGTCCAACTTTCCCAACACTATTTATTGAAGAGACAATCTTTACTCCATTTTATATTCTTACATCTTTTGTCAAATATTAATTGACCATAATGGTGTGGATCCACTTCTGGGGTCTCTGTTCCATTGG